TAAATCCTAACTTCACCATTATTTCTTTTCACTATCATATCGTATACTGCTGTTGGTGATACGTTATTTCCCTTACCTACCATATTTCATTACTCTTTAGGTCCACACACGTATGATAATTACTTTATGAGTACACCGATTTTCCCATATTGACTAATTTTATGTAATACTTAGAAGTTGAGTTAACAAAATAGGTAAAGTTTTCTTACCTGACCAACTCTGGTTTCATGTTTTCTAAATTTTTTTGGTCCTATGGTTGGTATATCCATGACTGCTAGCAGTTCTTCTGTTTGGGAGTATCCGATGCCAACAGACACTGATCCCCATACTAAGGCATCATTTAATTCTTCCTCCTTATCGATGGGATCGGTTGTGACAAATCTATCCCCGTCACAATTGTCACAATGAAAATGCAGTTTTGTAACCAGACCCTTTTGGGTTTCTTTCACTAGATTGTAGTGCCCTGTAGTGCATGATTTGCTGTGGTTAGCCAAGGAAGTGATTTCTTTTAAAAAATGACTTATATCAACAATGCGTCGACCAACTACAATTGGCTCATGCGATTCAAACAATGATTGAGGTAGACATTCCTCCACATACGAGTCTTCTAAACAAATGTCCATGCTGTTTTCTGTCACAGATTCATCTGATTTTCTCTCGTAAGTTTTAGGATTTGTATCACGGTAACTGGAACTAAATATATCCTTATAATTTAAAAGATTGTTATTCATACTGTTATGCATATTGTTATAAAAGCAGTGCGATATTAAATTGAAAATAATATATAAACTAACCTATTCGTATAAACCAACTATCAACTCCTTACAAAAAACATCTTTTGAAGAACATATTTGATTACATTTTGATTAGCTGGATAATTTAATTGCTGTTAATATTTCAGTTTCAATTCAAGTAATGTGTCGCAACAGTCATTATATTTTTGTACAAGTCTAAGAAAGTACAAAGTGAAATGATTAATGCTATCTAACTGTTATTAAACTGTTTACGAATCATGTTAACGGTCCGTATGAACTTGTAAGTAGCAAGTTGAGGATGAGCATACTGCGTTGTCTGTCTGTCATCGATGAGTCACTAGGACGGCGCCGGCGAGGCGTCACAACAACACTTCCACTTCCTACCGGCACACCTACACCTCCGCTCACAATCCCTCACACCAGTCACCACACTAAACTGCGTATATTGTGCACTAGTGTAGTTGACAACAGTTCATACTCAATGTCAGTTGACAATCAATGTCAAATAAATTCTCTTGTAAAATGGCGTTTCCCGTGCATGTAATAAATAACTAAAAATACTTCTTTCTACTTGTAACCAGTGGTTCAGGACACGAAATGTGGTTGCGGTGCTGTTTCTTTGCGTGTTACTAGCAATATTATTTTCGTGATTGATTTCGTTTTCAAATCTATATATTTAATACACAGTTGTAACACTGTTTTCTCTGTTATTACTGGACCGATCTACAAGATGTATGTCTCAAATTAAAGGATGTAATGCATAGATTTGCCGAACTTCCTTAGAATTTAAGTTTTTTCTAAGGGCTAAGCACTACAGCCCTTCAAAGGTCGAGTCAATACAATTCTTATGGAAGATTTTAATACACAGTTCATAAATGATTTGTCAGCTGTTTAATGTTTGTCACACATTTGTTATTGTTTTTATAACCTCACTGTCGGTGTGTATTTATTAATCTAGAAGTTCCTGTTATTTTCTCTTTTATTATTATATTTCTTTTATTATTTTGTCTTTTATTTTATCTATTTTTTTTCAATTTCTAATATTATTATTTCCTGATAGCGGAAATCTCTCACGCACGGGTAGTAGCCTATGTGAGAGGCATTTCATATGAATGACTATGTTAGTATATTATTTTATTTATTTATATCTTTGCATAACTATGCAATTTTTACTGGCAAAGCGTAACAATGTATTTACTTACTGAAATAAACATGATTTTGATTTGATTTCATTTGATTTGACAATATTCCCTACAGAGCATGGGCGGCTAACTAGTAAACTATTACGTCCCTGTTACTAACTTGGTTGAAATAAGTCGAATTCCATCAGTTTTTGAGTCGACTGTTCTAAAGTCATCGGAAATTATTACTGTTTTTCTTTTTAAAATAACGTCAATTTTTTGAAATCACTCAAACTCGAGCAACAGGTAGGCCTACACTAGCTATTATACATTTTAAAACAACTCAACTTACCTAGTTGATGCCAAAAGTCTGTCGAATATAGCATCGTTGGTTTCTTCGACAACACCAGAACATATATCAACTGCACTTGCTTTAGCTTTTAACCTGGCTTTAGCACATATTGAACGTTTGTTGCGTTTAGTTTTATGGTATTTGGCTTTTCTGGGTGCCATAATTATAAATCTATACGAGTACAATGTGAAATCGCGTAGACTTATAGTTGTTCTAAAAACTAGAACAAGGTTTAAATCACAAAAAATATATGAAAGATTAAACACTAAGGTACCATACAATCGCAGCACAACAAACAAACTGACGTACGCAACTCGAACACGTGGCCGGTGACAGGTAGACAGTGTTGAGAAGAGCGCGCGGGAACGAGGTGAGAGTGGTGTAGGCGCGGGGGAACGGGGAGGGACGGGCGTGCGCCCGCGCGCCGTGGGTGCGCGTCTGGGCACTGTACACACACGCAACGCCTCGCCACCGTATTTTGCTAACATTTTGTTTTCCATTACACTCCTAAACTGTTTGAGTTTCTTAATGTAATTAATTTTTTATTTATACTTCAAGTAGTTGCCCGTCTATACAGCTAATTTTTGTTGCAATACCACAAACCGCATAATTGTAGTGATTTTTTTTAAAATGTCACATTTTTTATTTATAATTTTTATGAAAATTGAAATAGCTCATGAAGTTAAGGGGCATTAAACAATGGTTTTTGTAATTTTTGGTGTCTCAGTCTACATCCGTTCTTGAGTTTAACGGTAAAAGAAGAGTACACTTTAAAGCACTATATCTCACTTAATAAATGGGGGAAAAAAAATTAAAAACCATTTTTTACATTCTTATTAATAGCTTAATGAATTGGTAAGAAAAAAAAATAAAAATAAAATATTTTTAAAAATGGGCCGAACACCCTTAACAGATGTAGCTAAACTTGCTTTTCCAATGTGTCACTTTTGGTTTCTACTTACTTACATTTCGACAACGATATCGGTACTTTTGCTACTTAGGAAATAAAACTACAAACGTACAAAACCCCAGATTAGTGCGTTTTTTGTCACATTTCCTCCGAATGTTTGCTAGATATATGTAGCCTACCGATTATTGTTTAGATATTACGTAATCTTTAAATAAGAAACCTTTGTTTGGATAAAGGTGGTTTCTTCAAACTGTCATTGATGTGTTAACAATAAAAGCTGCTTACAAATAATGTTATTAATGGGAAACAACTTTGATTTTCGAAAACTAAAAAAAAAAATTTAAAACCAAAGGAGATTAATAACTTCGGTACTGCACCACATCAAGTGAAAGTTTTTTTAGCAAACCATAGTGAGTTTTTAAAGCTTTACGTTGGTAACGTTACATGTTACATGTTTTGTGGCCTGTGTATTTATTTATTTATATATTTGCCAACAGATTAACACCTATAATACAGTTTTATTAGAAGGACAGGTTGAATTAGTCGCAAGTACTACTTACAGTTCTTTTCTCAAATGTAAACGTTGGTTTTTGGTAATGCTACTTTTCCTTTCCTTTTTTGGAACCGGTGGTAGCAGTAAGAATCATTTTTACATAACTTACAAACACATCACTATTTATTTATAAACACTGCACCTTATTGCTTATTTAATTTAATGCTGCTGCTTTTATGCTTATTTATTTGATTTCTTACTGTATAATTTTTAGCGTTTTCTGTCTGGACTCCAAAATGTTGTGTGGACTCAATTCTGTATTTGTGTGTGTATGTCTATTGGTAACGCATTAATGTCCTTATTTTTTGTGGAAAAGACAAGAGCACCTTTGTTAATAAAAATTTCAACCCGAATAAGTGTGCAGTAGTGAGGTTGAGGTAGTGTTTTAACTACTTTTAACCAGTGTGAAAAGTAACTTTCAATTATAGGCCTACCTTAGGGCTATGCCTCATAGATCTATACTGTAAAGCAATTCCTTTCATCGTTAGATATAAAATATGAACTAACACGATCGGGTGACATTTAATTGCGAAGCATTCGTTTTGGCTTTGAAACTGTCAGATATTGTATTTGAGAAGGTTTATATGTATTCCTAAACAATTATAGTTTTGCCATCATATCTGGAAAAATGCACACTAAATATGCAAACCAACTCCTGTTCTGAATATAAGGTTTTAACTTACTACTAGATTCCCGTACGTAGAACGGGCAAACCGCTAGTGATAATTAATACTCACTATGTAGTTAACAGTTCAATATAATCAACATTTCTTGTAAATATTTTATCAATTTTCAAAGTCTGATCTGGCTTTTAGTTTATTATAGAAATGTTTCACACTTATAGCCGCAATAGGTTGTCCATGTTGGTCTTTGTCAATGATAATGTAGTCTGCATGGTATCACCCATTGTCGCTAGTACGTTTACAAATTTCAGTCTTTATTTTAATAGCACCAAATAACCAAACTACCTGATTTTCTGCATAACCTCTCTGTCACATTTGTACAATTAACATATGTCCTTCTTCTCACTTAATTTCTGACAACGGCTGGAGTTTCATAACAATGTTTGTTTCCCATGTTAATCTCATGGAGAAATACAAATCTTTAAGGGGCCCCAGGGCCTTACTCTCTAATTATTTCCATAAAAAGAAAGTTTCCTGCACAACTTCACGTTACCCTCTTTCCAATGACACCAAAAACATGTCAATCGGTTCAGTAGTTTCGGAGGAGTAATTGTCACAAAAAACCTGCTTGCGTATTAAATAAGTATAGATGTACAGTATTTAATTTTATTTCCATCTGACTGTAGGAATGGATTGCACGAGACCTCACCAATTGTTGGCAAGTACTGTGGTAAAATGACGCCTCCTGAAGTTACATCTCTCACTAACGGACTCTGGATACACTTCAGCTCAGACAGATCCGCAACCTACAAAGGGTTCAGGGCTACTTGGGACGCGGCTACCACTGGTATTTATTACTATTTGTAGGCTACAGTAATGATTAATATTTAAGGAGGAATGTAGCAATGAACTTCTTTTGATTTCTAAGTAGTAGTGCAGTATACCTCATTTTGTCAAAATCTATTTTGTTTGGAATTTGGATGATTAGTTCTGTTGCACATGTATGACTCACATACTTAATTTCTTTGTTCACATCCTTGTAAACAAATAAGTCCCAAACCCTTTTGAGGGATTATTGAGGACATGGATGGAGGATTAGAGTAAATAGTGGTTTTCGCAACAGCCGAATAAAAGATAGTGCCTTAAAAGGTTCTACTAGTAGGATAATTTTAATACTTGCTTATACTACTTTACCTACGATTGTTTTCTTGCGTTTTTTGCTCAGCACTACCAGTTCCGATTAACTGATCTGCTGTTTGCTAAGGCTGAGACAGGAACACCTAGTAATAGTAATGAGTTTTTTCAGGCTCTGTCTTATGGTGGGTTGTAATCAGAAAACTGTCTGTCATCTAAATTGATACTATACTATTCTTTATATTTATTGCTAATGAAATCTTATCTGCAGGGTGTGGGGGTATTCTCACCAGCCCCTCTGGTACGCTGTATTCCCCCAACTACCCTCAGGGCTATGACAGGTTTGCTGAATGCTTCTTCAAGATCTCGATCTCCCAAGGAAGCAAAGTACGGCTTTCCATCGTGGATCTGGACTTAGAAGTGCACTCTCGTTGTATTCTTGACTACATCGAGGTAGGAAAGTTGGAAATAGTTCTGTGGATTTACCGCAATAGTACTACATTTTTCATTCATGGACCAGTGCCGCACATATGGGACGGCTAGTTTCTATCCGTTGACTGCTGTCGCAACAGCTGTTCACATTAAAAGTTAAAAAAGACTGACTTCGCATATTTGTGTCGGTCTCCCATTGATCGCAGCGTCCCATATATGTGGCGATCGGTAGCAAACATTTTACAGTTTTTGTCCTATTCTAAATTTTAAAACCCATCCTAATTGACATTATCCATACCAAAAAAAAATACAAAAAGATAGCTTGTAATTTCTTACTTTTCATTGCTCGGATTGTAAAATGTGTTATTTAGTGTATAGTATTGTACAAACTCATATGTTTTGAAGGTGTTTGATGGACTGGACCACAGAGCCAAATCCCTCGGCAGGTATTGCAGCCCAGCTCATCCTACTCATATAGAAGCCTCTCATGAGCAGATGTACATCAAGTTTAAGTCAGATATCAGCAACTCAGGCCGTGGATTCCACCTTAAATACGACACAGGTGTGAAAACTTAGGTATAGGAGAATATTTTAATATAGACAGTGATAGAGGCATATCGGGTGTTTTGATAACTTTGCCTTAAGCTTTTGATTCTACAAAAACACCTTCTAATGTATTTTTTCATGAAGTAAATACACAATAAGGGGCTTTCAACACAATAGCCAAAGTTCAAGCCTAGGCCAGGAGATTAAAGTCATGCTGCACCGTTGTTCAATTAAAATCTTTATAAACACATTTGTCAAATATACAGCTAATTACCTTGACTCCAGCTAATCCTTTTTTGCCTTATACAAATACGTATTAACCCCTGCAATGTGTGTCAATAAGAGGAAAGTTGTTTTTTATTTATCTAATCATAAAAATAAAATACATTTTGTATTAGCATCAGAATGTAACGTTTTTTGATAACTTGTTAGACTGCAATGTAACGCTGAGGAGCCACCACGGCGTGATCGAGTCGCCCAACTACCCTGGAAACTACGAGTCCAACGCCAACTGTATGTGGATGATCCAGGCACCCTTGGGTAACAAGATCAACATCAGCTTCGTCCACCTGGAGTTGGAGGAGAGCAGTCGACCTTATGCACCTCCGGGGACCAAACTGCAAGATTGCAGATACGACTTTGTAGAGGTATGTTACCAGCTTGAACCAACACTCTACATTTAGTGAAGAATTTAGCATTTCATTGGTTGTTAGAAGATGAATGAATACTCGTTGCCTTCTGGGTTCGACTGTGTTGTATGTGAATGGTGATTTTTCGGAGACGTTGGAGTTCTCCATCATCTGAGTCTTAAGGAGTAGATTGTGTTGTGTCTCATACTGGATATACGTTTGGGTGAAAACAGCAATGTCTCCGAAGCATCGGCATTCAAATATAGCTTCATATCACGGACCAACAACAAGAAAATCAGTAGATAGCACTTATGTTTATTGTTTAGTGGTTTACACCATTTAGTTATACACCACTAAGCTATTGTTAAATCTTGCATTTAAGCAATTTGGGGTTAGTGAATAGTTTGGCATCAGTACAAGGAGATTTTTTTTTCTCTGTAAAAGCTTATGCGACACATTCAGTAGAGTTTTGCTAGGATTTTGTATTTTGATAAATCTAAACATGGTGACACAGAAAAAACCCTGATATGATCCCCATATAGCTCTTTTGGCTCTGTTAGCGGTTAGGACTAGAAAGACTAATTTTAAATTTATGAAAAGGGTAGATTAAAAGAAAATCAGTTTTTTTTTAGCGAATTTCCCATATAGGGAATAAGCTATTACCGTAGGTCTCATGGTAAGACCTAGACCCGGGACCGATTTACTTTTTCGTTTTGAGGTCCCCAGAGGCCAAAAACACCATCCGTTCAAATTCATATATATATATATATATATATTTATATATATATATATATATTTATATATGTGTCCGTTAGCGCGATAACTCGAGCAAAATTGATCCGATTTTGATGAAATTTGGTACAAACGTGTAAACCTACATTAATTCGAACGAGTTCGCGAACCAGCATAATCGGACCATGGGATCAGGGGTTTATGGGGGGTTTTATGGGGTAAAAATGGGTTTTTCTCGTTTTTGACCCTAAAAACTTTAAATTTCTAAATTTCTCTCTAGACCATTTTGAAGAGCTTAAAAAAACAAATAATTTAGTATATTGAAGTGTTTTTGAATGTTCATTGACTACGGAGAAAATTAAAAAAATTGTAAATTAAAAATTCCCATGTTATTCTTATGGAGAATAAATAAACTGTTCTAGTTTGCTTGTTTATGGATATATTTTAATCAAATTTGGCAATTTGGTTTATTTCATACTAAGCTATCAATATTTCAATTGAAAAAACACACCTCAACATCTTCCCCGTAGCAGCAAACCTAACTACTCACTAAAATAATGTTATTTAAATAGGAAATAAATCTGAAAATTTATAGGGAATATTTTAGTAGAAATCAAGCCGGGTAAATGGAAATTCGCTTAGCATGCAGGTTTGCTGCGACGGGGGTATTTATGTTATAAGAAGAACACGCCTTAGTCCCAATTAGTTTGGATCAACATCCTTCTTCCGTATGGATACTAAAGTAGACATCCCATGTGTATAGACTATGTGTTGCTAAGTTTTTTTTTTCCAACAGGAAATTAATGAACTAGTTGAATGAAAAATGAAACACTCACACATCGTCCTTCCGTCAAAAATTCTATGTTTTCTCTTTCTCTAGAATTTGTTACTGTGATTGTTGATGTGATGATATTGTTTGCAAATATTATTGTTTCAATTTGGCTTGGTTGAAGACTAAAGAGTCCATATTTAACAGACCTCAGCACACTCTGTCAGTATCTCAATTCAACTATGCCCATTTTCATTGTTAATCTGGCTACAGCTTATACAGGGCGCGGCAAAAAAACCCATCTATTTTCTGCCGTGCACTGTTCAGTGACATGTCGACTGAAGGTGGTGGGAGTAGGCTTATTGGAAAGCTTACACAATACAATTATCCATAGTCATAGAGCAGTGGTCGACTGAGCTATGTGCGTTTGTTATCTAGTCTTTAAAAAAGTAATAATTCACTCATTGCAACTCAGCGGCAGTACCACTCATTCCTTCATTTCGGGCAACATGTAGAAGTTCCGTCGCAATTATCTGTATGGATAATCAACAAAATTAAACAGATTAATATTCAAATTAATTTATAGGTATGAAAATTAAAATCAAACCTCAAAAATCACTCAATTCAGCGATCAGACATGTTTAAAGCAGCCGCTTGTTTCCGTGCAGGCCTACGAGGACTCTATCGATTGTTAGTTGTCTGCCGTCCGTTCTGACTTTGGACGGCCCGTGATCATATTTTTTTTGTACCCAGAAGCTGTTGTTCTAAGGTAAGTAACTCACCTTATGATTGTGCTACACTAAGGAACTTCTCCATGTCGCCTTAATTGGAAGAATGCATGGAACTTCCGCTAAGTTGCAATGAATGAATCCATTACATTTTAAATGTGACTCAATAACAAACACTCAGGTGACCACTGCTTTATGACAACAGATTATGACAAAGTGTAGGCTTTCCAACGAGCCTACCCCCACCACCCTCAGAGGACCTGTTGCTGAACAGTGTGCTGCAGAAAATAGGTAGGTTTTTTTCTTTTACCGCACCCAGTACATTGTAATGGGATGTGTACTTATCAGTAGTAAAATATAATAATCAACGTGTGGAAAATCAACTTAACTTTCTGTGAAACGTAACCACATTGTTACCAGATACTGGAAGGCACTCAGAATCGTACACCCACCACATCTCTGGGTCGATTCTGTGGCAACGCTCTTCCACCGCTGATCTCTTCTACATTGGATCAAGTTTACGTTCACTTTATCACCGATAACACCTTCGAACGAACAGGTTTCCACTTGGAATGGGTGGTGAATGGTGAGTTTTTCTGATGTTTTCAATTTTTTTTTTCGCTTTAGCTCTTTTCAAGTATATGGTTTTATTCTCAATAACTTGTTGGCGAGGCCAAATACCACCTAGGGTATCCATGGCCATGGGAGTAAGAGTAAGTAAGTTTGGCTCTTTTCCTCTCTGATTTCCACTCCCCAAGATTACTGTTTATAATCTTTCAAAGTAAAAGCTGCATTTAGAACTCACAATGTGATAGCTTGTGTTTGGGCTGGATGTAACAGAGAAAGATTGTTTGAATACACATTTTTTTACCGGTAGGGAATTTCAAGGTAGATGGTGAAAAATCTCTAATGTTTGTAATATCAAGTAGTTTTACTTATTTTTATGAAATAAATTGTTCTGTTGAAAAATATTTTTCATCAAGATTTACTTTTTTTTAGGTGTTAACTGAGAAAAATTCCAAAATTTGTTTTTGATTTTTCTTTTACTTAACTTAAAAACAATATTGCTTAAATTCCAATTTTAAGATAGATTTTTAGCATGGATTGGACAATCAATTACTGTGATTACAAACTAATAAATAGTTAATGTAACAAAACTCCTCAGTAATATAGGCTATTGCATCCATTTTTAACATACGAACTAAAGAATTAGTTAATCCAAAAATATTCTTCTACATCATGTTGCACGATTGACTAACACTAACACTAAATGGAGGCTCCATAGAAAATATATAGCATTAAAATAAATGTAAGGGAATGCAATATTTGATTCTTTTTTCATTCACACAATGCATGTAACAGGTTGCGGAGGAACATTCCGTGATCGTCCGACGGGAAAGTTCACCAGCCCCAACTATCCCAACGGATACCCTCTAGATGTGGAATGTGTGTGGAAAATCATTGCACCTTGGGAAAAGAGCATCGAGATTACAATCTCCGAGCTTCATGTGGAGGACAGTCACTTGTGCGGCAATGACTTCATTGCAGTGAGTAGCATCTGAGTCTGATACATATACAGGGTCTACTAAAAGTACAACAATTTTGGAATAGGTTTTATCGGTCGCAAAATAAAAGGAAAGTTAAGAGTAAAATTGTTTCCCAAAAACGCAGTTTTAGTGACTCCGCCATTTTGATTTTGTTGTTTGAAATGTATGTATCTTTAAAACTATTGTATGTGGTATACAACTCTAGACGGCAATAAACTATTTGCAAGGTAAGATTGTATGTTTGGATCGTATTTTGCTTACCCAGTATATTTGTGGCTGTTACTGTGGTAAAAAATATTGAACGCAGCTCTTACGGGGGAAGGTGGTTATGGTACTCTCATGAAAGCCTGCGCTCGGCAAGCCTCACATGGGAACTATCATGCTTGTAGCCTGTTCCACAGTTCTTCAGTTATAATGTGGAATATATTTATTGTTTCAATGTTCCTCCTATGCACATCTGTGGTGATAACCTCAACTCAACTTCTCAACTTCCTATACTAATTTAGTGTTTCCTTTTTAGTATTTTTGTACATTTTTGTACATCACAGACTGAGGAGTACCATTATTGTTGTATACCTTGATTTCCGTATTGTTAATGAAGTCTTTTTTTAACCTGATGACGTACCTATGAGTATGAAACCACTATAGGCTATTCAGCTACACAGGTATATATAAATATAGGAAAGAAAAAATGAACCCTACATTTGCTTACTTAAACATTCCCGAGGCTATATACTATTATTAAAAAGAATACATTAACTTATCTTCGTTGCAGATATACAGTGGTGAGGATGAAACTTCTCCACTTCTATTAAAGGCGTGTCACCTTCAGACCTCTCCAATCATCACCACAACCTCCAGCAACCATGCATTTATCAGGTTCCAGTCTGACATATCCATCAGCGGTCGAGGGTTTTCTGCCACGTATAGGTTTGTCGATTCCAGTAAGTGTAATTGTTTACATTTTTCATCTTGTAGTATTACTAACTGAAAAACTGACCACACAGTAATGGACTTTATTAGAAAATTGAGCTACCCTCTTGTGCTGATGTAGGCTACTGTATCCTTGTGTTTGCCTATTCCATCTATTTTTACAACTTATAGTTTGTACTCTCAGATTGTTTTTAAATTTCTTGTTATGGCTTCTATATGTTTCACTGCGTTTTTCTTCTTGATTTACTTATTTTGGGATGAATTTGTGTACACAGTGGTGGCGCTTCCATAAGGGCCAAGTGGGCCGGGTCCACCAAAAATAAACAGTAAAGTATATTTTTAAATACTTTATAGGTTATTTGGTTGATATTATTGAATAAACGGTCATATAATTATATCTTGAACTTTCAACGGGTCATAACTTTTGTTGAAATACAATGCAATCATCTCTAACACATTGGAGGGCCACGGGTTTCAGGCCCTTCTAGCCACCATAAGAACGTAATGGACAAGGCAACGCCAGCCGGGGGCGCTTGACTATCAGGGAACAATGCATTGCTATATGGAGCGGGGTGGGCCGTTTTGAGCTGGCCCACTGGACGTTGATTCTCAATATTCTCGCTGGGAGTGCTGAGCACTAGTGTAGCTTTGTTTACATCCCGCCGAGTATGTTTATATGTTTGAGGAATAGTTGTACAATCTACACCAACCAGCAAACAGGGGTTGTAGTTGTAATATTTGATGAAATAATGGTGATGTTATAGTGATGTGTGTTTGTGTTTGTGGTTCAAATGTGGCTAGGCTTATTTCAAGAGTACTGCAATCTTCAGAGTTGTGAGTTATTATAAAAAAATGCAGTTCTTGACATGATTTAAATAGTAAAAAAAATTAATAGTTGAAAATAATGTACCATCTTTTAACCAACCCAAATTCTAATCAGGTGCCTCAAATGATTAAAAACTTTCCATCTAATTTATGTAAAAGATTTCAACAAATCTCCGAGCGAGACTAGATTAGTTTCCTTCCAGATCCCAAAACGTAAAAATAAAAAACTTTTTTCACTAATTTTGTGGTGGAAAAAGTCCACAATGATCCATTACATAACTCTTCCTCTTCTGTCCCATATGCGAAAAACCTACCCATGATTTCTCATTACTAAACACTCAAACAGTCTTAAATATAGTTCTATGATGTGCAGAATGTGGTGGTAAGTTCACTGCACCCTTCGGTACGATCCACTCGCACAACTACCCCAAGAACTATGATAACCACGACGACTGCGAGTGGTTGATACAGGTACAGCCCAACCACCTCATCAACCTCACGTTCACTGACTTTGACCTGGAGGTTTCACGTGAGGACACGACCACAGACTTTGTCAAAGTGAGTTTTAGAATTATTTACAATACCATAGTTCTTGTTCAGTATGTAAAAATAAGATGACCATCATAAGAGGAAATTTCTTTTGTTTTTGTAATGCCCGACGATGGTCGCATGTGAATAAAAAATACCAACGCAAACATTTGGGATTACCAATAAAACATTACAGGAAAAAAAAATTAGGTGGAAGGACAAAGTTCAAAAGGATATTGAAGACTTTTGTTGTGTTCTACACTTCAAGCAGCAGAATACAGAACAAAGAGTGGAGGTGTTTTTTTAGACTATTTTTTTATCCTAGGACGCTAGGAGCCCGGGATTGTTTCTCAAATTACCTCAGGCTAGACCTTGGGGTTGCGGCATTATTACTTAGATAAAATGGTGATTCGGGGGGATTTGAACCTGGGACCTCAGGGACTGAAGTCCCACGCTCTAACTACTAGACCATGCAGCTCGCTCCCCCTTTTTTTAGACTAAAATTTACTGAGGTTTCAATGGTGAAGGTAAGGTAAAAGACTATATTTGCAAATATTAAAATGGAATCTTTCCCTACAGGTTTACGACGGAGACTCTATCAATGATCCAGTGTTACTAACACACAGTGGCAATGTTCTGCCTCAACCTGCTTATGTCATCTCTACCAGCAACTCACTACTCGTCCGGCACAAAGCTGACGGATCACTGACCGCCAAGGGGTTCAGCGCTATGTATTCCCTCGTAAGCAATGAGTTTTTACTTCATTTCAAATACCTATACTTATTATCCTAATCTGTATCTATATTCCTCCTAACCCTTCAAGTTATCTGCCTCATTGAGGATTCTAACTGAACTTATCTGTTGTACAAATGTGTAAATTAAATTGCATTAGATTCTAAAGCTCATGGGAATTATAAAATGTTCTTTAAATAAAAAAAAAACCATTACATTGATGTTCATTATATCACGGTTTGAAAATTGATATTTTATTTGGCAATTTCTTAATCTTTTCTGCATTGTCTACTGTATTTATTTTTGGCAATACTTTATCTTTGGTCCTAGAAATTAAAATAGCGTTTTTACAAAACTCTGAGCAAATAGATGGATAATTATTTTACTGATTAAATAATTTGCTATGACTTCTCAGGCCTGTGGAGCTCGTATTTCTGCTAATGGCTCAGGCACATTCACTCTAGACCACGTAGTAAGCGGTTCTCATCCTGGAAAGGAAGACTACAGCCCAAACTGCACATGGTACATCATTGCAGAAGATCCAGGTACGGTTCATTCATGCCTAGAAGACCAATAATATCAGGGATCTTTTATAAAATGTTGATTCTCAAAGATGAGAAATAATTGATTCAGTAAATTTCAGTATTCGTCTGGGAAGGGAATCTTGTTGTATTATCGCAATAATTTAAGTTATCTGTGTTGCTTGAGCTATCTTAGAAGACTTCTATAAAGTGTATGTGTTAATCACAAAAATGTAGACAAACACCTAGTGTGGAATCATCTTTGCCATTACTTACAACTATCAGGGTTAACACTGACAAGAATTTTGCTCACGCTATGTTCCTGGATACGAGTCCAAATTAAATGTATGTATACTATAACAAGAAATATAAAAATTGTTCAAACAACTAACAAATGAAGATGATAAAGCAGACAAGATTATGATGGCATTCATATTCATACAATATCTTCATTTTTGAGGTGTTGCCTTCTGGATTACTTTTTAACAATACTATTCTAGAGGTTAAATACTTTTTTATTGCCAATGTAATCCATTGGTCCTCTGCATAGCAACCGGTTTTGACACTTAAGCCCTTAAGACGTGTTGTCGCTCCCAAAAGGACGTCAAGAAGTTTTTAATACATAAATACAAGATTCATGAAAATAAATTTTGACCTCTTAGGAGCGACAACACGTCTTAAAGGCTTGACAGGGACACCTTGAGTGTCGAAAACCGGTTGCTATCTAGACGACCAATGGATTACGTTGGCAACAATAAAATATTTAACCTCTTAAATAATACGTACAATAACTAGGGATAAAACAACTTGTGCACTACTCTCAACTCAACTGTTACATAGAAGCAGACCAGATCCTGTTGACCTTCACATTCCTGGACACGATTAAGAATCAAAATCACACACATTAGCTAAACCAACTTTTTGCATTACTTAACTCTGTGAATCTTCCAGGGGAGAATATTTGCTGAAGTTTTGTTCCTGGAAATAAATCAGAATCAATTACACTTACATAAGTTCATCAACTTTTTGCATATTTATCCACAATTCTTAACATTCCAGCGGATAAGATTCTGCTAACATTCACATACTTTGACACGAGTCCAAATCATGAAAACACGGAGGAGGACTGTTCGTACAACTACGTGGCCGTGCACGACGGAGATGACACTAATGCCACCACAGTGCTGCGGCAGTGCGGCACCAAACTGCCGACACCTGTGAGAAGTAGCGGAAGCGCACTGACTGTACAGGCGGTTAGCCTGTCCTCTGGGGGACCTCTGGGCACCTTCGAAGCAATGTGGTCCACATTGTCTACTGGTAATGTTAAAACTGTTGTTGATTGTTTACAAAGAATTAATAATAACACTTATAGTACTGTGTATATTATACTGTTCGCTACAATACTCATACAAGCTCTGTTCTCTATATACTTTTATACTTTACTTTACTTTTATTTTTTTATACTTTCTTATGAAATGGCGACCATACTATGTAGGTATTTTAAGCCAAGTATGAATGGAGATGAGTGTAGGATGAGTGGCGCAATCTTGTAGTCTTGTTAGTGACTTAGGCCGACATTCCTTAGACACAGCTGTTAATTAATAGCCCAATATAAACATATATAAATATATAAACATAAATGACTGTCCGCCTGTCCTTTATGTGATGCCATTCATCCGATCACCATGAAACTTTAGGAAGTTGATCTATATGTGTCCTTGGATGTTTGTGTGAAATAACGTTTTTGAAAACTCCGTTGGTTTCCATTTTATGGTATTCTAAATTTCTGATATTAACCTTACCGGGAGTAGGTTTGTTGAAAAATTTTCTGAAATCAAAACATTTGATTCCTTAATCTTTAATAACCACAGCTTATGATTGACTTTTCATTGGCAATGTCATCTACTATCCAATACTATCCGTGTCCGTAGTTTATGTAAACTATAAAGTAAATAAGTACTTTGCAATGTAGGATAATATTTCACTGTTTGGGGGTTTGTTTATACACCTATTTTTTTATTTGTTGGCAAAATGTAAAAAATGCATTTAACATTAATGTTGTATGTTTTATTGGTTCAGCCTGTGGTGGGGAGTTGACTTCAGAGCAGGGAGAGATTGCTTCACCAAACTGGCCTGATGGATATCCACCCAATGCTGACTGTGAGTGGGAGCTCAAGGCCAGTATAGGTAAGTACAGACAGCATACAAGCAGTTTGAATGCTTCCAATACCTTTCTCTGCTATCAGCATTGTGTAGATAAAATGGACAGGGCTGTTACCCTATTGGCTAGCATTTCCAACTTTGAGGCGAGAGGGAAGGGTCCAATTTCCATCACGTCCAAGAACATTTGCAAGATTTGTACTGATTTCACTGTTTTCCTTTAAAAAAGTTGTATGTTCTCAATTACAAACCACATCCATTAAATAGCTATGGATTTTAATTGGAAACATTCTGCCAACACAAATCTAATCACTCACTCACTCACTCCCATGCCCATTTATGCCCAAGGCGGGATTTGGCCGCACCAACAACTGCTTTCCATCTGTCTCTATCTTCTGCCTCTTCCACTGCTGCATGTCCTTGGTGACACTATCCAACCATCTCTTCTTTGGCCTTCCTAATGGTCGTTTCCCTTTTGGCTTTCCTTGATCCTTCAATATTTGCAATTTACACTTCCTTCATTAACATCAACAATGACATAATTGAGTGTTGTAGATTGGCAAGAATAGTAGAGTAGAGAGTAGAGAGGAAAGTAAAGCAGTCATGTTCAAACTAGCCAGTTAGAGATCTTAATTTACTGACAAACCCTCGTACATAGCTAATTACCTAATTATTGGCTAAATCAGCTCATTCTTTAGCCAAGATAACTTTTAAAACCCAACAATCAAGGGCATCTACCATATTACAGAACAATAGACCAGACTCAGATAAAATACCTACAATTTATTAGTGCCAATTCACTTACAAGGTGTTTTATTTTTACAGGCAATAAAGTGTCTCTGACTTTCATGAAATTTGACCTCGAGGAAAGTGAGTTCTGCAATACGGACTATGTTGAGGTAAATGTTTTTAACTCTAAGTTGTAGCTTGTATAAAAGTGTGTCATCTTTCAATCCAAATATGGAAATACAATTGTAATACTAGCATACTATAAGATGTTCAATTGAACTGAGTAATTTTTTATACCTTGTGTTCTACGAAATCTATGTGGGCTGTTAGTGACAACTCAGAGGTACCTGTTCTGTCTTAATTCTTTACGTACTCAGACTCTGACATGTAACGCTGTTGACCTGTAGTGGCGATTCTGTTAACTATATCTAAGTATTCAACATTGATCCACAATTCCTACATAAAAAATCTCATAGGGACAAATTCATAAACCAATAAACCAACTCAACTCGATACACCATTTTGAATTTATATCCAACCAGTAAAGAGTACTTGATTCATCCCATTACTATAAAAATGTTTTTCTCTAAGCTATAAAACAAAATGTACAGTAACTTTTTTATTTAGTCCAATTGCTAATTTGACCATTTTAACAACATTTAATGTTAAACTGACACCTTCACTGTTTTGTATGATGTCAGGTGCGTACCAATTCCAGTAGTGGTCCACTACTAGGAGTGTTCTGTGGCTCGGAACTTCCTCTCAACATCACACCTTCGGCCAACTCTCTCTGGATCAGGTTCCGCAGTGACAACCTCAATACCGCCAAAGGCTTCCTTGCTGAGTACAGTCTAGGTTGGTACTTTATCCATTACTACATGTTTTTCGCTCCAGTAGTTCATCAAGTTGCATTTATTATTTTAGAACCATTTATGAATAATTTTTAAATTTGCACAATTATTCAACTATTTTTAACGAGTAATTTTTCAACTGAAAAGACTATATTTTAGTTGTGAGCTATTTGGTTTGTTGACAAGTAGTTCTAATCTGATGTTTCAGAGAACAATTGCCAAACATAGACATTTTCATTTATTTAATATTTACAGCGTAGTATAAATCTATGTGACAGGACTTCCTCTCAATCCATCCCATACAATGCAGCATAGAGACATAAAGTCTTCTCTTCTAAATAATTATTGATTGCCTCTAAAAGACAGTGTGCAAAATGCATCTAAGTAAACATTAGAAAAGGTTATCTGTTGGGCCTACAAAATTTCTCACAATTTAAATTTTTAATTCCACTTTGTTTAACTTGCTGTGTGCTAAAAAGCGGAGCCAAATCAATCATACAATTTTGGAAGGAAAATAAAAAAGGAACAACGGGAGTTATTTTGTTCACCCAAAGACTAGTCATAGATATAAAATGCCCAAAGTTGAATGTTGAGAGATGATGAGAAAACGTACATGATCAGAGTAAGTTAGTTAATGGGACCAAATATCTTCTTGGACATATGAATAGATACGGAAGTAAGCAAGTAAGTTAGAAGATTCTTGGGCTAAAACCAAGATTTGTAGTTGTTCTTGATCGTTCTCTGTATAGTTCACGGGAACGAACTGGCTGGTGAGGAGGGACAAATAGCCTCTCCTATGTATCCTCGACCTTACATCCAGAGCGGGAAGTTCAAGTGGACCATTATAGTTTCCAACACCAAGGTAGTCCAAATTACCTTCAGTGACTTCTACATGGACCAGTATGGCAGAGAAGGCTGCTATATGTCTCTTCAGGTAAGTGATGGTTGTGTTGTAATCCATGGATTTTTCTCTCATCAACCTTGTCAGAAGTTTACTGCCAGAATTTGTCTACCGAAATTCAAAAACTTTAGATCCCGAAGGATATGGTTTGTGTAATAAGCGCTACAATAACATTCTTACCAAGACATTTGGAGTTGCTAGCCTAGTGGATAGCAACAAAAACTGGAATGCGAGAGGGATGGGTTCAATTCCAGTGCATTCTAAACACATTTAAGGGGTTTGGACCACTTTCCTCTTAAAAGCGTTTGTGATCATTTCAATGTTAATTTCACTGCGTAGATGCTACAAATAAAAGACAGTGTTGGGCAACTTATTATTATTAATTATTATCAATTCTATCAGTATTGAAACTCCTCTATCAAAAGAACTAGATTCAAATCCAAGAACCATGTTTTCTCATCTTTTAATGGACACAAAACTTTTACCAACTCTAACACCCTTTCTCCACCTGATAACATATCAAAACTTTGTGGCAAAATTGCTATGCAAATCAAATTAAATAAATCTTTATAAATATATTGTTAAGACGAAAGGAAACATTAAATAATTTTGTCATGACTCCCCATTTGACTGTTAAAACAATTTTGTCATCAGTATTATAATTTAGCCAAATTTGTGTTTAAGGTTTTTTCATTGTTCTTCGTTCGTGTTTGTGTCTCTTCTTAAACTCACAGTTGAAGAGAATCCTTGTTTTAAAACTTGGTAATTTTGTTGACAAGCAAACAATAGAAAGAGAAACATACAGATAAAGAACTTAACTATAAATTGTACAGAAAGTTTCAAATATTTAGGAGTAACTGTAAATAGTAGAAACTCAAAAGACAAAGACATACTAACTAAGTTATCAAATGAAGTACTGTAATGTTTAATTGTCTTATTGTATATGAAGTGCTTATAAGATATTTATAAGTGCTCCTGACCTTGACTTTGAAACAGCTGACTGCTTACATTTATCAATAATCGTTTCCCACAAATTTACACTCGATGTGTTAGCAATTTATCGATTACAAGATTTTGTAGTAGATAGATTTGTAAATGAACTTGAATCTTGTTTGTCATCAATTAAAAATAATAATTTAGTTATAAGTGGTGACCTAAATATAAATATACTTGAGAGAAATCGACTTAACGATGATTATTTGATTACGATAGCTAGTTATGGTTTACTTTCATTAATATCTGATCCAACTAGGGTAACTGAAAATTCTGATTCGTGTATTGATCACATATTTTTTAGAAGTGAAAGAAAACTAAATATTGAATGTGCAAGTTTTGTTATTGATACGGGAATAACTGATCACAGGATGACAGCTACTTGTATGAAGGTCAATTTACCTACACGTAAAGCAAATTTAGTTTCACAGAAAGAAGAAATTGATTTCAATAAATTGGCATTAAAACTACAAAGTGTCTCATGGGATTCAGTTTATTTAGCCGAAAACGTTTCACTAGCATTTAGTTTATTTATGAGTATTTTTAAGCAGTGTATAAATGAGTCCTATGTTACTAAGAGAATAAGTAGAAATAAGAATGATAAGTTTAAACCCTGGATCAATAGTAGACTCTTAAAAATTATAAATAGGAAAAAAAAGATGCATATTCAATGTAAAAAACAGCCACATGATGTAGAGCTTAAGAATAATTATAATGTTTTTAAAAATTATGTAATAAACCAAGTAAGATTAACAAAGAATGAGTACTACAGCAAAATATTAGTCGAAAATAATCAAAATCCTAAGAAACAATGGAACACAATCAAAACCCTTATTGGAGAAAATAAGAAAGATGCAGAACTTATTGTATTGAAAGGTGACGATAAAGAGTTAATTACAAGCCCTGAAGCAGTTGCAAATAAATTAAACAGATTCTTCTGTTCTATAGCAACGGAGTTGAGAGAAAGTATTATATTAGAACAACAGATAGTTCCCCAGCTAGTAAACGAATATAAACCCATGTTTCAGACAACTACATGTAACAATTCAATATTTTTCTATCCAACCTGCGAAAACGAGGTTATTGGCATAATCAAATCGCTTAAAAACAGGAAAGCACCAGGATATGATAATATTACTCCTTTGATTATTAAGAAAATTTCTACTTATATTGTTGAGGTTCTTGTTTTTTTAATAAATTTTAGTTTATATTCAGGTGAATTTCCCAATGATTTAAAAACAGCTATTGTAAAACCGTTATTCAAAAAGGGTGTTAAAACAGATCCAAGCAATTACAGACCAATTGCTCTTTTATCTATATTCTCTAAAATGTTTGAGAAAATAGTTAAGACTAGACTAATAAATTTTTTAGAAAAGTACAAATATTTTAGTGATGGGCAGTTTGGGTTCAGGAAAAAACTAAGCACTAATTCGGCGTTATTACATTTTATGAGTCAAGTGTATAGAGGTTTAAATGAAGGTAAATATTGTGCTGGCATTTTTGTCGACGTCATGAAAGCTTTTGATACTGTAGATCATGGTATTTTGTTGGATAGACTTCATGAAGCTGGGATAAGAGGTGTGCCTCATAAATGGTTTGCTTCTTATCTCACTGGACGTACTCAACGTACACGGGCGAACGGCGTGATTAGTGACCAAGGAACTGTATTACATGGCATTCCACAGGGATCTGTTCTATCTGGCCCTCTTTTTCTAATATACGTAAATAACTTGTGTAATAGCCGTTTTAGAGGAAATTTAGTGGCTTTTGCGGATGACACTGCATTATTTTACAAATCAGATTCCATTGAAACTTTAAAATTAAATATTCAATACGATGTAAATGCTCTTCGATGGTGGTTTACCAACAACTTCATGGTAATGAGCCCAAAAACTAAATATGTAATTTTTAATCTATCAAGGAACATAAGTTTTATTACTCCGATAAAATACCACCAAACAAACTGCCAATCTACAAATTGTGATTGTCCTGTTGTTGAGCAGGTAGAGGAAATTAAATATCTGGGATTACACTTAGACTCAAAGATAAATTGGAAACGCCATATAGATTATGTTAAGAATAAACTAATACAATACGTCAGGATATTTTATATGTTAAAAAATATGTGTAATCAACGCCTACTCAGAAATATTTATTATGCGATGATAAATTCTAAATTAGAGTATGGTTTAGCTATCTATGGAGGAGCTTACTTTTCGTCAATTAAGCCATTAATTGTCTTGCAAAAAACCTTTATAAGGATAATTAGTAACAAATGTAGAACAGAACATGCAGCACCACTATTTAAAAAGTTAGAAATTTTGCCTCTGAGAAATCTATATATGTATAAAGTTTTACGAATATTTTATAAAAGAAGTGGAGATGAGGTTGAAACTATGTCTGAAAGGAGAATAACATTAAGAAATAGGTATAATGCAATAGTTCCAAAACCAAAATTAACAGCTTTCAAGAAATTTTATTTATACCTTGCACCTAAAATGTTTAATGCTCTACCATCCAATCTCAAAACCATCTCAGAAGCAGATTTTTCTAGGCAGCTGTGGCCTTATTTATTATGTTTGGAAAATGCTGAAATGTACTTTTATGGAATTTAGTATATATACAGTAGTATAGAAGTGACTAATATAGATAATAAGTAATATAAATACCTACTCTGTTGTATCATTTTTGTTTGTAAGTGTATTGACTTTTACTCTGTGCTGAAGAAGATCACTGTGTAGAACTCACTCTCACTGTATATATTATAACCAAGTGATATAAGTGACCGGACAAAACCGCCTCTTCGATTTTTAGAACATAAGATAGTGTATAAATCCACCAACATAGGTTTTTAACCTAAGGTGGTTATTGTTTTTTTCTTTTTTTCATGTGTAAATGTATTTTGTGTTGTGTATGGAAAAAACAATAAAGATTTCTTAAAAAAAAAAAAGGAAAAAAAAGTAAATTAAAATACGTACGACAACTAATGAAACACATATAGTACAAAGGATAACCGATTCTTTATTATTGCTCTTATATTAATGCTAGTGGGTAGACAATATTTTTGGTCTTTCTATTCGGCTCAATCACATCCTGGTTGAAGTTCGTTCGCTACGCTCACTCACCTTTAGGTTGGGGGAGCTCGTTCACTGCGCTCACTTGCCTCCAGGTTAGCTCGTTCGCTACGCTCACTTGCCTTCAGGTTAGCTCGTTCACTACGCTAACTCGCCTCCAGGTTGAAGTTCGTTCGCTATGCTCACTCACCTTTTGGTTGCAAATTAGCTGTTGTCATAAATGTAAAAGAAATAATAGTGCTGTACCCTGTTGGTAATCCTTGTAACTTTAATGCTATTGAACATCATAGAACAGAACCAACTTGTTTAATTGAAACAACTGTTAAGATTCATTAATTCCATTTCTCATAAGGTTAACATGGGAAACTCCAGAGCCACTGGGGCGGAGCCGATTGGACGGATCACGAAATTGATGGTGTATAAACCTATTCCATGAAATTCTACACGTATGTACCAATTTTCGTGGCAATCGGTTCAGCGGTGTCTGAGTTTATCACTGCCATATATGTATATACAAACATCCTCTTTTATACTTATAGATAATTCAACCTATTCTGTTATATGGTAGTGAAACATGGGTATTGTCCAAGAAAAATGAAAACCGACTCATGGTGTTTGAAAATAAAGTACTTAGAAAAATATTTGGTCCAGTACAGGAGGGACAAATGTGGAGAATAAGGAAAAATATAGAGTTAAGATCACTATACACCGACCCAGATATTGTTGCAATAGTTAAAGGAAGAAGGTTAAGTTGGATAGGGCATGTGCTAAGAAGAGAGAAAGGAACAAGACTGTATGAAGTTTGGAGGGCCACACCTGGAGGTAAACGTCCATTGGGAAGGCCGAAATTGAGATGGACTGACCAAGTATTGAACGACATCAGGACAATGGGTGCAAGTGTCAACTTGGCAGAAGACAGAGAAGGGTGGAAGAGGCTGGTACACGAGGCGAAGAATCAACTGAGATTTGTGGAGCCACGGCAGTAAGTAAGTAAGTAAGTAATCTTGTTGAGAATGAACCGTCAGGTTCAAAATAGTGGCCGCTTCGTTGAATAACAAGATCATTCGACACTACTAAAGGTATATTGACCCTTCCATTTGCACAAACATAATCCAGAAACTAAAATTTGCATTTCTGAGGTGTTGCATAAAAAACTAAAATTTTGTTTATTATCCTTTGACAGGTGTTTGACGGACCTGATGTTACTTCTCCCTCCCTGCTAGAGGTCTGCGGAGCGTTCCTACCCACCCCTGTCACCTCCACTTCCAACGTCGTCACTGTCACATTCAACAACGACCCCTGGCATCGTGGCTCCGTCTTCTTGTTGTCTTGGAAAGCTGTCTCCCCAGAGACAAAGGCGGAAAACACTTCTATGGAAGAAAGTAAGTAGGATCATTGTATTTTACAGTGGATGTTTTTGTTTTCATCACTTAGTGTGATGTTGGTTTAATGTTTGCCAACCCCATTCAGTGAGAGTCTGTTGCAGCGCTGATTGAGTAACCAGCAATTGATGTCTATAGAATTGGAATCTGATTTGTGTTTTAATAGGGGTGCAGTGGTTTTCAGCCAGATTCAAGGTATCAACAACTTGAGCACACCATGTTAGCGATTTGACATGGTTTTACCCTGGAGATAGTGTTACAGTATATCCCTACTTCTAGTGACAATCTGTTTTAGACCTGGGCTGTGGGAAGCTGATTCACTTGAGTCCTGCCAACAACTCTGACATCTTCACCACTCCGGGCTATCCTAAAAAATACGACAGTGGCTTGACATGTGACTGGATCGTTGATACCAGTCCTGGCTTCCATATTGAGCTAAAGTTTACTGCGTTTGATCTGGAAGAGTTTGAAGATTGTGATGCAGACTCTGTTACATTATATACGGGTATGTTTCTCAAAACAAAATTAAATTCTTTACTCATATGGCCTTTTTGAAAGCAGGTTAATGTATGTACTATGTAGTGTGTATAGTTTGTTATTTATTGTTTCTAGATTGGTGATTGTAGACAAATATTAAATTTAAGGAAAAAGATGTATAGCAAACGACCTAAAGTAACAAATCAAAAATCAATAAAAACGTTGTAAAATTTAAAATGTTGATAAATTTTTCATTGATTGAATGTTCTATAAAGTTAATGATTTCTTAAATAATTATGTGTTTGTATAATTTCTTAGCATAGTATTTTATTTTAGTTGTTATGTATTTTAATTTATTTATGACTATTTCACCTGTTTCCCAGCGGCCAGCACAACTGGTTTTATGCAACGTTTTTGTAAATAAATTTATTGACTATTGACTATTAACGAGACAAAAGTACAGGATAAGAGGCTTACCTTAAAAAAACTATTGAGTACTGTTTTTCTTATTTTTAATTTCTGTTTTTAGAATCTTCCGACACTGGTGGATGGAAGGCCATCTCTCAACAATTGTGTCTACCCAACACGACAGATATGGTATTTTTGGCGGATAGAAAAATGAAGATACATTTTGAGTCTGATCATTCAGCTGAAAAGACTGGATTCTCCGCTAAGGTCTCCACTGGTAAGTCATACTTTTGTTAAAAATATCCTCCTCGTGAGTGACTCATTCGTTCATGTCATGTTTTCTACAAAGGAAGTACTCATTCTAACCTATTCATTTTTTTTTTTTTTTTTTTAGATAAGAAAAGCTGTTTCCTTAGTCTGCTTGCTAACAACTGTACTAGTGTAACCTACTCTTGCACTTTTGCGTTTTAGAATCCTACGGAACCAAAACACCGTTTGTTGAGCGGAGCGAGCGAAGCTCTTATACGTCGACTTTTATGCATTTCGTAATACGCAAACTCCTCCTAGACGGCTGAATCAATCGTTTTCAAATTTTGGATGGTGATAAATACCATATCGGTGAGTGCCAACATCTATATGGCGTTAAAAATAACTCTCAGGAATCCGCCCCACTGGGTCTCAAAGTTTCAATGTAATCCTTATGGAAGCAGTATTTGACACATAAACAAAGACATATGAGCAGCTGTTGACTTTTGAATGCAGCAGATGAAGAAATAGCTGATAGCATAATTCCACAGATATTAGAACAGAAACGGTATGAATCATAAATATAATCAAATGACGACACTAGCTTGAGGTCCGTGACGTAGGAAGTGCTAAAGGAAGTACTAAAGGTGAGCAGTCTGGAGTGTGGAAACTGTTTATGACGATTAGATTTAGGTATCTGCATTCCTAAAATTCTATGGGAAGGGAGGAAAACGGGTCCACGACGTAGGAACTGGTGAAGGAAGTACGAAAGGTGAGCAGTCTGGAGTGTGGGAACTGTTTATGACCATTAGATTAAGGCATTGCAATCCTATGATGCTATGGGAAGGGAGGGAAACAGGTCTGCTACGTAGGAAGTGGTGAAGGAAGTAGTAAAGGTGAGCGGTCGGGAGTGTTGGAACTGTTTATGACCATTAGATTAAGGCATTTGCAATCCTATGATGCTATGGGAAGGGAGGGAAACAGGTCCGCTACGTAGGAAGTGGTAAAGGAAGTAGTAAATACGAGCTGTCCGGAGTGTGGGAACTGTTTATGACCATTAGATTAAGGTATCTGCAATCATAAAATGCTATGGGAAGGAAGGTAAACAGGTCTGTGACGTAGGAAGTGGTGAAGGAAGTAGTAAATGCGAGCAGTCCGGAGTGTGGGAACTGTTTATGACCATTAGATTAAGGCATTGCAATCCTATGATGCTATGGGAAGGGAGGGAAACAGGTCTGCTACGTAGGAAGTGGTGAAGGAAGTAGTAAAGGCGAGCAGTCCGGAGTGTGGGAACCGTTTATCACGATTAGATTTAGGTATCTGCATTCTAAAAATTATAAGGGAAGGGAGGTAAACAGGGTTGTGGCGTAAGAAGTAGCGAAGGAAGTAGTAAAGGCGAGCAGTCCGGAGTGTTGGAACTGTTTATGACGATTAGATTAAGGTATCTGCAATCATAAAATGCTATGGGAAGGGAGGTAAACAGGTCCGTGACGTAGGAAGTGGTGAAGGAAGTAGTAAATACGAGTAGTCTGGAGAGTGGGAACTGTTTATGACCATTAGATTAAGGTATTTACAATCCTATGATGCTATGGGAAGGGAGGGAAACAGGTCCGTGACGTCAGAAGTGGTGAAGGAAGTAGTAAAGGCGAGCAGTCCGGAGTGTGGGAACTGGTTATGACGATTAGATTAAGGTATCTGCAATCCTAAAATGCTATGGGAAGGGAGGTAAACAGGTCTGTGACGTAGGAAGTGGTGGAGGAAGTAGTAAATGCGAGCAGTCCGGAGTGTGGGAACTGTTTATGACGATTAGATTAAGGGATCTGCAATCCTAAAATGCTATGCGAAGGGAGAGAAAAGGTCCGAGACGCATGAAGTGGTGAAGGCAGTCGTCAAGGTGAGCTGTCCGGAGTGTGGGATCTGTTTATGACGATTAGATTAAGGTATCTACAATCTTAAAATTCTATGGGAAGAGAGGGAAACAGGTCCGCGACGTAAGAAGAGGTGAAGGAAGTAGTAAGGTGAGCAGTGTGGAGTGTGGGAACTGGAAACCGTTTGTAGCAGTTAGATTAACGTATCTGCAATGCTGAAATGCTATGAGAAGGGATGGAAGCATCCCCACGACATAGAAAATGGTGAAAGAAGTAGTAAAGGCTAGCAGTGCGGAGTGTGGGGAATGTTTGTGGCAATTAGATTAACGTATCTAAAATACTAAATTGCTATGGAAAGTGGTGAAAACAGGTCCACGATGTAGGAAATGGCTTAGAAAGTAGTAAAGTATGAGCATAGTGTGAAAACTGTCTGTGGTAGTTAGATTGATGTATCTTTAATCCAAAAATGCTATGAGAAGGGAAGGAAACAAGTCTCTGACGTAGGAAATGGTGAAGGAAGTAGTAAGGCTTGCAGTGCAGAGTGTGGGAACTATCTTTGGCAATTACATTAATGTATCTGCAATCCTAAAATGCTATGGGAAGAGAGGGAAACAGGTCCACGACGTTGAGGGTGGTGAAGGAAGTAGTAAAGGTGAGCGTGTTGAGTGTGGGAATGGATTAATGTATCTGCAATGCTAAAAGGCTATGGGAAGAGACTGTAGACTGTAGGTTAAAATAACTACGAAGCACGAATCGATACATATTTCGATTCATGCAATCGTTTACAATATAGAAATTTACAACTGAGTTGACAACAGCTGATTTTTACTCCATAGAAGATACAATCTATTTTTACTTCCTAAAGAGTAAAAATGCTACTTTAGACCCGCAACGCATGCTTTAAAAACAACTGGTATTACTGTAGTATGACCAAAACAATATAATATAAACTCTTGATGGCTCCGCTCAATTTTGTGGATGCCTCTGCAAACGCCACCTAGTGTATGTCAGTCTGTAAGTGCAACAACTCGATCTATCAAACTTTCAATTTCAATGAGTTCACAAACAAACCTATCTGGCCATAGGCAAATGGGTTTGGAAGGCAAGGGAAGGGGGGTTTGTACTAAAAAAAAATCATTATTTTTTTTTATGTTGTAATTTTATTTTGGCTAGGGTAGCAGAATCAAATCAAGTAAAAGATTATTTTTTTCATACACATTAGTACATGTAAATAATGGCAATAATTGCTTTAAAAATATCAGTATTCTAACTTCCAACCTTAACTATTTAACACCATTGGCCTCATAACTATTTTACTCACATTTACTCATGAAAGCATCCACTTTAACACAAAAAACACACAAAACGTTATAGTATACGCTCAATTAGAGTATTTCACTGTCACTGACAGCATAAGGTTTTAGTCGGGAAGGGACATGCCCTCAGGTCCAATGATGACTATACTTCATAGCATTGGTTGATGACTGTACTTTGCTAAGAGGTACATTAGCAACAATCCTTTGTATTCATTGAGTCACTCTTCATTTGTATTGGGAGTTCACCTGGCTGCAATATTAGTTTAACATGTTCGCCGTGGTTGTGTGAGGGCCGGGTGAGGGAACAGCTTATTCGCTGTTTGGATGAGTGTGCAAAAACGTTTAGATTTAGTTTCATCCAATAGGAGAGGCTTATTATATATATTGTGTTCCAGTCGTTGACATAGTTTTGGTTTTGCAAGAACCCATCAGATAGCAGCACTAAACAATAGTGCTAACAGGCCCTCAGTATTGCCAAATGGAAGGAAACGCAGGGACAAAGTACCCAGATACCATTAAAATGTACTGCAAAAAAGGTCTCAAACAAGGTTCCTTCTACAATGCTACACACAGTCATTATCGTATTCCTCATATTATCGTATGTCACTAAATCCAGCCCAAAACCTCACACTACACTGTTCAAAAAGCACTGACATAGTATGATACAGTTCAATTTGATTTGACAACACGCGGCGACAATAAAAATGTTGCCCGGCAAATGCTGGGCCCACACCGACCAAGGCAATGCTAGTGAAAAAGCGCAGTGCTGCATTTACTGTATAGTAGGCCGCAGTGAACGTGTTAATTTCAAACTATTTTAAATACAAACTTTTTGAGTAGCTGAATGCCCTTAGTTTGCAGGTTTGCTGCAATAGGAGTTTTTTACTTGTTACACAGAATATATGAATGGTTTCTTTCCAATTCTCCTTTTTGGAGGCAGTTCATTCATTGACTTGCAAAACACAACTTGTGAATATTGTCATCAAAACATATTGTAAGCCTATTCAAGGAGTCAGCTAACTAGTTCAGCTATTGAGTTCTCTTGCAAGGTGGTAAATTATCATAAAGAGTGTTTATGATACTTTAAGTAAGACACTTATGCTTCTTCTGAACCTCAAATTACTTACCTTAAGATGGTGTAGAATGGATCTAATATGTGGTCTAATCTAGTTACTAGGTGGCGTTCGCAGAGGCATCCACAAAATTGAGCGGAGTCATCAAGGGTTTATATTATATTGTTTTTGTCTTACTGCAGTAAAAACAGTATTTTTTCATGCATGCGCTGCGGGTCTAAAGTAGCATTTTTAATATTTAGGGAGTAAAAATCGTTTTTAGCCTCTATGGAGTAAAAATCAGATGTTGTTAACTCAGTTGTAAATTTCGATTGTAAACGATTGCATGTATCGAAAATATGTATCGATTTGTGCTTCGTAATCATTTTTAACATATTACAGTCTACAGTCTCTTCCCGTAGCATTTTAGCATTGCAGATACATTAATCCATTCCCAAAATCAACACTGCTCACATTTACTACTTCCTTCACCACACCCTACGTCGTGGACCTGTTTCCCTCTCTTCCCATAGCATTTTAGGATTGCAGATACATTAATGTAATTGCCAAAGACAGTTCCCACACTCTGCGCTGTTAGCCTTACTACTTCCTTCGCCATTTACTACGTCATTGGCCTGTTTCCTTCCTTTCTCATAGCATTTAAGTATTACAAATTCACTTATCCATCTGCTCAAACGGTTCCCCCACTCTGCACTGCCAGCCTTTACTACTTCCTTCACCACTTACGTCGTGGACCTATTCATCGCTTTCCATAGCATTTTAGTATTTTAGATACGTGAATCTAATTGCAACAAACATCCCCACTGTCCGTACTGCTAGACTTTACTACTTCTTTCACAATTTCCTATGTCTTGGGCATGCTTCCATCCCTTCTCATAGCATTTCAGCATTGCAGATACATTAAAACTGCTACAAACGGTTTCCAGTTCCCACACTCCACACTGCTCACCTTACTACTTCTTTCACCTGTTCCTACGTCGCGGATCTGTTTCCCTCTCTTCCCATAGCATTTTAAGATTGCAGATACCTGAATCTAATCGTCATAAACAGATCCCACACTCCGAACAGCTCGCCTTTACTACTTCCTTCGCCACTTCCCACATCGCGGACCTGTTTTCCTCCCTTCCCATAGCATTTTAGGATTGCAGATACCCTTATCTTATCGTCATAAACAGTTCCCACACTCCGGACAGCTCGCTTTGACTACTTCCTTCACCACTTCCTACGTCACGGGCCTGTTTCCCTCCCTTTCCCATAGCATTTTTGATTGCCCATACCCTTATCTAATCGTCATAATAGTTCCAACACTCCGGACAGCTCGCCTTGACTACTTCCTTCACCACTTCCTACGTCGCGGACCTGTTTCCCTCCCTTCCCATTGCACTTAAAGATTGCAGATACCTTAATCTAATCGTCATAAACAGTTCCCGCACTCCGGACTACTCGCCTTGACTACTTCCTTCACCACTTCCTACGTCGCGGACCTGTTTTCCTCCCTTCCCATAGCATTTTAGGATTGCAGATACCCTAATCTAATCGTCATAAACAGTTTCCACACTCCAGACTGTTCACCTTTACTACTTCCTTGACCTCTTCATACGTCACGAACCTCAAGCTAGTGTCGTCATTTGATTATAGTACCTGGGGACCGAGCTTTGCTCGGGGAAAATCATTAGTTCACTCTGAAAGCACCGTAGTATTGGAGATACATAAATCCACACATCTACATCCTACACAATTTCCTACGTCATGGACCTGTTTCCCTCCATTCCATTGCATTTAAAGATTGCAGATACCTTAATCTAATCGTCATAAACAGTTCCCACACTCCGGACTACTCGCCTTGACTACTTCCTTCACCACTTCCTACGTCGCGGACCTGTTTCCCTCCTTTCCCATAGCATTTTAGGATTGCAAATACCTTTATCTAATCGTCATAAACAGTTCCCACACTCCGGACAGCTCACCTTGACTACTTCCTTCATCACTTCCTACGTTGCGGACCTGTTTTCCTCCCTTCCCGTAGCATTTTAGGTTTGCTGATACCATAATCTAATTGTCATAAACATTTCCAATACTCCGGACAACTCGCTTAGACTACTTCCTTCACCACTTCCTACGTCGCGGGCTATTTTCCTCCCTTTCCATAGCATTTTAGAATTGCAAATACCTTAATCTAATCGTCATAAACAGTTCCCACACTCCGGACAGCTCACCTTGACTACTTCCTTCATCACTTCCTACGTCACGGACCTGTTTCCCTCCCTTCCCGTAGCATTTTAGGTTTGCTGATACCTTAATCTAATTGTCATAAACATTTCCAACACTCCGGACAACTCGCCTAGACTACTTCCTTCACCACTTCCTACGTCGCGGACCTATTTTCCTCCCTTTCCATAGCATTTTAGGATTGCAAATACCTTAATCTAATCATCATAAACAGTTCCCACGCTCCAGACAGCTCGCCTTGACTACTTCCTTCACCACTTCTTACGTCACGGACCTGTTTCCCTCCCTTCCCATAGCGTTTTAGGATTGCCCATACCCTTATCTAATCGCCATAAACAGTTCCCTTACTCCTGACAGCTCGCCTTGACTACTTCCTTCACCACTTCTTACGTCGCGGACCTCTTTCCCTCCCTTCCCATAGCATTTTAGGATTGCCCATACCCTTATCTTATCGTCATAAACAGTTCCCACACTCCGGACAGCTCGCTTTGACTACTTCCTTCACCACTTCCTACGTCACGGGCCTGTTTCCCTCCCTTTCCCATAGCATTTTTGATTGCCCATACCCTTATCTAATCGTCATAATAGTTCCAACACTCCGGACAGCTCGCCTTGACTACTTCCTTCACCACTTCCTACGTCGCGGACCTGTTTCCCTCCCTTCCCATTGCACTTAAAGATTGCAGATACCTTAATCTAATCGTCATAAACAGTTCCCGCACTCCGGACTACTCGCCTTGACTACTTCCTTCACCACTTCCTACGTCGCGGACCTGTTTTCCTCCCTTCCCATAGCATTTTAGGATTGCAGATACCCTAATCTTATCGTCATAAACAGTCCGCACACTCCGGACTGCTCGCATTTACTACTTCCTTCATATCACTTCCTACGTCACGGACCTGTTTCCCTCTATTCCCATAGCATTTTATGATTGCCTTTACTACTTCCTTCACTACTTCCTACGTCACGGACCTGTTTCCTTCCCTTCCCATAGGATGCATTTTAGGATTGCAGATACCTTAATGTATTCGTCATAAACAGATCCTAGACTTCGCACTGCTACCCTTGACTACAATGTATCGAGTAATCTTAAGTATAATCTTTGCTCAATATTAACAAGTGATGTTTTTCCTTTTGTACTGTATTTGTAATTTCCTAGTATACTGTGGGTAGTTGGCTTATTATGAACACATCCTAAAACTTCAAATCTTTCGTTTACTTTTTACTTGTTATTTAATTCAGCCAACATGGTTACCTAGCAACCCATATGACTAATGTTAAGAAAATGTGATTTTCAATTTCATTTTTCTACGGATTCCTGAGAGACTTTTTTAACGCCATATAGATGTTGGCACTCACCGATATGGTCTTTATCACCATGCAAAATTTGAAAACGATTGATTCAGCCGTCTAGGAGGAGTTTGCGTATTACGAAATGCATAAAAGTCGACGTATAAGAGCTTCGCTCGCTTCGCTCGCTCCGCTCAATTAAAAGATCCTAATTTTACAATTTTAAAAATGTGTCCATGTGTCTTCTTTCAGAATGCGGAGGCATTTTGACTGGCCCCAATGGAGTTTTGGACACCTCGCACATCAAAGGAAATATGACCACAAACAAAATAACTTGTGACTGGGAGATAAGAGTTCGGTCAGGCCGAACAATCAAATTCACTTTCTCCGAGTTTGACTTGCCAAAACTAGGACAAGATTCTTGCATTACTAATTTCATAATGGTAAAGTCTTGAATATAATTTTTTAGAAATACTGTAGCTAAAGCCAAATCTATTACGTTTGTGACATTTAAAATAATATTTTATTGTAATGTTGATTTTAGAGCTTTAAAAATGTTAATCAATCGATTAAACCTTTTTTAATGAGGTTTACTACTGAGCGTGTAGTTGTTCAAACCAAAAAGAACTAATACTGTAGTTTAGTTTATTATAATTTAAAGCGTTAGACTTTGGGCACAGATGGTGCAGTGGTTAAAGCTCAAAATGAAACAACAAATAACTTGAAACTAAAACAGTCCTTGTGTTTTTGCAGATTCGCAATGGAGGCTACAAAGACTCCCCTCCGCTCGGACAGACCAAGTACTGCGGAGACATAGTTCCTTTAGTCCCAGAGACGTCTTCTAACAGAGCCTATATTTCTTATAGTGCTAGACCTAGCGCTCCGGTAAGTCATTTACAGTAGACTCTCGTAAATTTGTACTCTGGAAGATTTGTACAAATTTGTACAAAAAGTCTGCTTAGTTACTTCTGCCTTATAACCGCTTTGGTACTACTTATGTTTCAATAGCAAAACAGAGATTAAATAATAACTGTCAACATTAAACATTATATAGTTATAATAGACAAGTATGTTTATTGAAAACCTTTTTTCTCAGCTGCTGTGCATCGCAGAGAAAATCTACGCATACTGATAGTCTAATATTTGCCTGTAGATGTGCAGAATCCCTTTATAAATTAAAATAGGATAGAAAAAGCACTAAAAATTAATTTCAAATAAAAAAATTAACATGGGCCTCATGGGCTGCCATGTTGGTGACGAAATAGCAACAAAATATAAACAGAAAATCAAAACAAATGGAAGAAATTCCAATCACATGTTTTATTTACAGCGTGGGGTGAAAATACTGAAAATAGAGAAGTTTGCACAATACATACTTTTGGTCGAGTTTTTAACCACGGAGCAAGCTCAGTTTTAGCTAATTTCCCAACGGAAAAGAAGAAATTACCATATAGGTGGCATGGCAAGACCTTCACCTGGGACCGATTTATTTTTTAATGTATAAAAGTGTGTATTAATATCCGTAAACACAATAACAGTAATTTTGGTCCGATTTTAATAAAATTTTGCATGAACGTGTAGGGCCAGATACACTTGGATGAGTTAGCACCAGCAAGATTGAGTTATGAGAACAGGATTGTTATAAGGTTCTATAACTTTTGTTCTATAACAAAAAATATTGTTTTATGTTTACCCTTAAAACAATGGGTAATACAAAATAACTCAAGTTCAATCAAACGGTGTGTCACAGGGTATAGTCCTCCAATATGCAGAGGTGGATTATGATTGCCGCCATGAGATCAAGCTGGGCACTATGACCAACTTTTCTATCAGTTCACCCAACTACCCGCAGCCTCCGTCGACACCCCATATCACTTGTACATGGGTCGTCACTGCACCCCCGGGAGAAGCCGTCACGCTGGACTTTGTCAACAGATTCGATCTCAAGTATGCACCAAGGTGAGTTCTTGCTGGTTATTTCAAATAAAATTTATGTAGAACTGCCTTATGTGTGTGCTGTAGACTTCCTCTCAATAAATACATCTAAAACTCTCTAAATGCTACAAAGAGCGCACATAAACTGCTAACTTTCTTTTTCAGCTGTAATCTAGAGTACATTGAAATACATGACGGAGGCTCTGAATTGTCCCCACTGTTGGGGAAATGGTGCACGGGAACCCCACCGAGTCAGACCACAACCCGAAACAGAATGTACATCAAGTACTTTACGGATACAGACACGCCGAACAATGGTTTTGGTGCTATCGTTAGAATCGGTAAGCATTATCTATTAGGTGTACAAGGAACACTTTTCTTGCTTTTCATCTAAAATCACCTATAATGATTTTATTTGGGTTTTGTGAAATACAAGTGTTGTCACTGAAATTGGCTTTAGTCAGGTCCTGTGTATTAAGATTCTATTCATTTTTGGAGTAAATGCTAGTAAATTTCAATATGATTTATATAAAACATAGTTGTGAATAAGACAAGGCTTTAACCTGATCCCTTGGAAAAAGAGTTATATATACCGTACCTAATTTTGAAAAAAATATATCTAAAAAAGTTGTTTAAGCTAATTCCAATTTAGTATTATATGTTGCAAATTAGCTGTTGTCATAAATGTAAAAGAAATAATAGTGCTGCACCCTGTTGGCAATCCTTGTAACTTTAATGCTATTGAACATCATAGAACAGAATCAACTTGTTTAATTGAAACAGCTGTTAAGATTCAATAATTCCATTTCTCTTAAGGTTAGCATGGGAAACTCCAGAGCCACTGGGGCGGAGCCCGAAAGGATTCTTGAAATAAGAATATGCCTATATGTTAATCGGGAATGTGAGCTATCATCATGCCAAATTTCAGCCCGATCCGACCAGTATTTTTCGCGTTCACTTGTCACAAACATACATCCAAACTTTCTCATTTATAATATTAGTAGGATTCCAAAAAATCTGTTTTGTTTTCAGAATAACCATTATCCAAAGCTACACTAAAGAAGACTTTAGAAAGAGTATTTTATGGGGGGGGGAGGGGGGTAGAGAACCTCTCATGAATTAGAAAATGTTTATGATTACATTTAGTTCACACAAGTGAGCTGTTAAATTTAATATTTTTTTTAGCTCTAAAATTTTTTAAAGGGTCCACACCCCCCTTTCCACAGTAACCTAATCACCCAAAGTGATCCTTACTTGTGTTGATTTTTCCTCACATTGTTAGTGTCATATTCAAGCCTTTTTAGCCGAGTTTCGAACTCTTTAGAAACCTGAATGTACAGATAACCCTCTTAAATATTATTACATTAATCCTTCTATACCAGAGAAATACTCAAATGGATATTTAATGTGTTATTTATTGATATATAATCTTACACTTTCCACAGTTTTTTTTTGAATACTCAATTTTTTACAGCTACCTGTGGAGGGACATATTTTGACAAGAGCTCGGTGACACTGTATTCACCAAAGTACCCCTACAGTTACCTGCCAGACTTATCCTGCACTTGGAGAATTGTGGGGAGCAATATGGACACTCAGCTGACCTTCAACGTCTCAGAGCTGCTGCTGGGAGAAGATAGTGATAACTGTAGCAACGGTGATGATTATATAGAAATTGACAACATCAATCCACTCTTCAACAGTGTGGACAAAGGTGAATGTATAACAGAATTTTTATACCTCAGATTTTTCATGAGTCTGAGTGTCAACTAGTCTTCCACAGTTTCATCTCCACCTAAATCTCACTTCACTTCTCTCTCCTTCACATCCATCTACATCTCCACTTACCAACCTTTTCTACGGTTCTTTCAGTTTCTTTTCCTCCATTTTCAACTCAGTTTCTCAAGGAATTCTCTCTTCAAATTTTCTCACATGTCCTCACCTCTTTCATCTTAGCTATGTTTTAAGATGGATTTTTTTATCTGGTTACGTGATATTGATATTCAAATATCCTTTTTCTGATCTCTTCATTCCTATCTTTACACAAAATTTATAAGTTTACATGTTGTATGTGTTGTATGTCGAATTGGTGTCTCTAATCAAACTGTCAACTAAGCTAGTCAAGTGGATTTAATGTATTCCCTAGGCCCTTAAAGTTTTTGACGATGGCATCTCGCCAAAACATTTAACCCTTACCGCGCTGTAGACGAATATACCCGCCAAAATTCCCTTTGCTCAAAACGCTACGGACGACTATACTCACCTTTTAATACTGAGTGCATTGGCTGGTCCTTGTAGTTCCCAGTTTTGCCGAGAGATTGCAGCAGCTATTGGAGAACATATCACGTGAAGGAAAATCACAATAACAATGTTCCCCGCCCTCCAATTGTTCAAAATGGCGGCGCACTACACTTGCCGGTACCTGCTTTGAGAGACATCTGAGCTGTGAACGTACTTAACTCGCAAGTGCTTAGTTAACTCAAAGACTCCGCGGGAAACTTCGTTCTACGCTGCGTTCGTTATTATATTGGTTTTATTTTTGTTATATTGTTATAATATTATCAAATAAAGAATCAGCTTTGAATTTTGGGAAATAATATTTTTTAGCTATGTTACAATCAAGACCACCCAACATATCTGTAACGCGGTAAGGGTTAACACAATTAATTGTTACTTTGGGAACCGCATGACAGGTATTGTAATAAACCTTTAATCTAACCATTTAATTAGAATTTTTCATGAATGAATCCAATAACCGACTCAGTGACATTGTTTATTTAAGATGTGTTTATTGAAGCAACTAGTTAATAAACCTCTTACCGTCTTCTCTGAAAGATGTTCCTGTTTTATGCAGACTCTCCGAACCCACCCCCAACAAAGCTTTGTGGACGACATCTGTCCATTCCAAATGGAACTGCCTTGATACCTCCCAGCAGTTCGAATGAAGTGTTTGTTCGATTCCACTCCAGCTCTCAAGCCAGTTACGCCAACAGGAAGTTTGCTATCACTGTATACGCACATCGACAAAGTAAGTTGATTAATCAGACTAGAATTCAAGGCTAAGATTGGTAATTTTTAAGGTCATTAAAATGTATTAAAAATTTTTTGAAGAAGACGATGTCATTCCAGGACACCAATTCGGGTTTAGACGGAGACATGGCACCGTGGAGCAGGTCCATGGGGTTGTTCATACAATTCGAAACTGTTTGGAAAACAAACAATTTTGTTCTGCTGCTTTCCTTGATGTCAGTCAGGCATTTGACAAAGTATGGCACTCTGGCTTACTATTCAAAATTAAGAAGTTACTACCCCATTCAGTTTTTCCTATTTTAAAATCATATCTTACCAACAGAACTTTCCAAATTAAACATCAAAATTACTTAACTGACCTTTACCCTATAGAATCAGGAATCCCCCAAGGAAACGTGCTTGGACCATACTTGTATATTCTCTATACATCGGACCTACCAGAAAGTGTAAACACTATGGTTGCTACATTTGCAGATGACACGGCGATTTTATCCGTCCACGACAATCCAGCTCAAGCTACAGCAAATTTACAGCTAAACTTGGATGAAATTTCTCATTGGTTTAAAACATGGAGGTTCAAAATTAATGAAAATAAATCAGCACACATTACTTTTACCTTAAATCAGGCTACATGTCCTCCAGTATCCATGAACAATATTCACCTCCCCCAAGTAACGGAAATAAAATACTTGGGCATGCACTTAGATGCAAAGCTTAATTGGAAGGCCCATATCTGGACTAAAAGGCAACATCTAAATTTAAAAACAACTAAACTTAGTTGGCTTCTTGGATCTAAATCAAAACTCAGTACACAAAATAAATTGTTACTGTACAAAACAGTTTTAAAACCAATTTGGACTTATGGTATTCAGCTTTGGGGATCAGCAAGTCCTCAAACATTGAAATTATTCAACGTTACCAATCAAAATTATTACGTAAAATTGTCAACGCTCCTTGGTTTGTTACCAACAGAACACTTCACAATGATCTTCAAATTCGAACAGTAAAAGAAGAAATTACAAAATATAGTGAAAAATACATTATAAAATTGGAAAATCATTCAAATCATCTTGCACTTAATTTATTGGACAATCACAACACCATTTACAGACTGAAGCGACATACGATATTGGACCTACCATTCAGATTCGGCTAAGTGTTATCAAAATTCTCTTTGTTTGCTAGTGTTGACGGTGGTCAATCACTAGCTCATGTTCTTCAAGTTATTTTTGTATTACTATTTATATCATTTGCTTATTGTTCAACTTGAACAGATTGTAAATTAAATAAAGTTAAAAAAAAAAGGATTTTATTTTATGACAAAACTAATTTTTGCGCGAGAATCATCTAGTGTAGTAGTGGATGAAGTATGAGTACAGCCTCATAATTAAACTACCCTCTTGGCCAAGAGGAGGGATACCTAGAGGACTTGATTTACCTTGACCTTAATTTACGCATAGTTCTCATTGGAGTATATTTTCTTTAGACTGTACAAATGCTTCATATGTTCATGAATTATGCTTAAGCAGGATGTTACCACGAGATCAACGCAGAGTCGGGTGTGATAGAGAGTCCGGGCTACCCCAACCCTCCGCCCAGACACACCTATCTGTTCTGCTCCTGGATCATCACTGTGCCAGAGGGCCGCAGGGTGTCCCTCAAGATAACAGACTTTGACCTGGAGCCCAAGGGAGTCAACTATTGGAATGAGTTTAAAGTTTCGGTTAGTTACTTGACTACCTAAGTGAATCTCTAAGGATAGTACTTGAGATTTCAACAAGACTGTCTAGCAGTCACTTTACCCTACAACAGCCATTTGACAATTCTGATAGATGGGGGTTTCCTAAAGTAGGGAAATTTTTATCAATAGCTACTTAATTAACATGTTCGTTGTTAATTAAGCGCACCAGTGGCAGGGGTAGCCCCAGGGCGGCGCAGCGTCGAGCAAACCCGTTTGTCTTTCAAATATTTCAGTCTGACAAATAGCAAATGACGTCCGGTGATGTGCTGCGTTATGACGAGAGTTTGCGTAGTTTGCTGAAACAATCACAGATAGCAGCACTGTCTGGAACTATCCAGTCCCATTGAATTGCCAATTGGAGGGAGAAAGACGGGACAATAAGTTGATTTCTAAGCTTGACAGAAGGGGATTTTACGGGGAAATTTACTACCAACCTACACCACAATAAAGCATCCATTCCTAGCTAAACGCAGACATATAACACAGAACACCATCTTAACACGGTCACTAAAGTAGTGGCTACTTCTTCCAAATATTGAAATTTGTTTAAGTATAGGTAACCCGTATCTTGATATTTCCATGATTGATATCCACTTAAATTTAGTGGTCTTGGGCCTAGGTGACAACGGTTATAACTACTCCCCAAGATATTCACTAAGAGTATAGTGATCTGAGATCTAGGTTTACCTTGAAGACTATGGCAATAGCTACCTCCCTAAATAGCTTTTACTGTGGTCATCATGATTCACTGTGTAATAACCTATAGGGGAACGTTTTGCATCTTCAACTGTATCCAAAGACTTAAAATTGCTTTTTTCCAGTTCTACAGTGGAGGCACTTACATGTCAGCTCTCTCTCCAGACTCTGGAATTCCAGAGAAAACCATAGATTCCTTTGGCAACAAACTGAGAGTCAACTACTACGAGGACTCCATCAGCGGTGCCCATCGTGGAATGAGAGCACAGTTCTCATCGCTTTTACCTGATGGTAACTACAACCATATCTAATCTAGTTAAATTAGAAAGCATACAAAAAATTGCTAGTGTACTGTAACTAAAATTACATGACAACAATGTTTTTATGTAAGTAGGAAATCAAAATCAAATCTTCTTCATATCTGACCTTGGTTTATTGCCAGGGATTGCTGGTTCAAAATAATCCACTTGCACTATTTTATGACTGCAGTCATCACTGGCTCCCCTGTTTTATGTATACTGTAATACTAATAATACGTCTGTCTTTAAGTGACATCTGGCGACAGGTAGTTGGGGTTTTACAAAAGCAAATAATATGTTGTAACTTTTTTCAATCAGTGTTGTTAAAGTAATTTGACTGATTGGTTGAAATTAGAAAAGTAAATTAAAATCACCTCTCAATACCAGGACAGGACCAAAATGTTTTCAGCATGCGGTTTTTTTATTTCAGTTACAAAAGCTACTAAAATCTGGTAATATTTTATAAGCTTTGTAATTTTAGGCAGTTTTTTTTTAACTTTCATGAATTTTGGCAGTAATACAGCTTATCTTATGAAAATACCTCCCTAAACATAACCTAAACTCTACTTACAGCTTGTGGAGGCAAGCTGGGTGACAGTGGTGAGGTGAGTTTTGACGCTGTCTCACACAACTACTCGTACTACTTCTGTGAGTGGACACACACCAAGAACCCTGCTGAGGCAGACATCCCCTCAACCTTCACCATCACCATCACTGGAGTTCTGAACACCAGGAACTCTTCTGACACTACTCTGCCTTCCTACAGCAGTGCTAGTGACCAGCTCACTGTCTATACTCAGAGTGAGTGTTAGTAGATGTACCAACGACAAAGGTTGAGAGTCAAAGTCTACAACATGTTAATTGCTGATGATTCGAAAATAAATTTTAAAATATACATAATATAGGCCAATATGTATATGGTCTTCCACGACCACATCTTTTTGACCTCATCATGTGACTACAGCTTAGTAAACTTGCACTAACGCAAGTTTTCTTGAATTTGTGTATGTCTTTGATTAATTTACTTTTTTATTTTTTACGATAAGGTCTCTGTAATTTCCTAACACAATATCTACACAACCACGGGGGAAGTTATTTTGCTGCGATCGTCGAAGAAGATATAATGTTCCAGTGACCGTAAAAGACGATAAATATTTTCATTTTGACACGATCACAGAGGATGAGAACAAACTTTTCCGTGATTGCGGAAAACTATGATGATATTTTGATGATTTTTGTGATTGTAGGAGATAACCGAGATTGTTGCTGCAATTGCGGGATCATGGTAAATAGTTTTGAGATTACCGCAATAACATTGTCACTGATAAGAGATGGCACAATCAGACTAAGCAAGGAGTTGAGTCCGACTAGCCTAGGTCGGAGTAGCGGAGTTCTTCTGTAAACAATCTTAATTTCCTTTCACTAAATTGAAATTCTTACAAAAAAGTTCACAATCAAATATTATCACTGGATATTTTCCTAACAAGGTTGTAGAACTGTCTATATAAGGTGTTTTATGGAGATGTAAATATTTAAGTTTATACTGCGTTTATTTTTAAGTACAGTAGGCTTATTCTTTTGACATAACGAGACATTGTACCATGCTTTACAGCTGATTCCAACCCATATTACTCTTTGCAATTGAATGAAGAACTGAAATCACCAACAGTTGTTCGCAATCCATTCATGAAAACAACAATTACGGTACAGTATCTAATTTTATTATAGCCGATTATTATTAAATAGTTCAGAAGACAAATCCCCAAGTCAAAGAACTGAAATGAAGAGTTTTTTAATGGTTTTATATGGTCCGTTTATTTTTATCATAATTTATGTAGTCTACAGTTCTACCGTTCTACCAAATGAATGAAAATATGAGTAATAAATGTAAAGTCAATAACTTTTTTTTAGTTTTTCAAACATTTGACTCGTAAGTGTGTAAGCATTGATTACTATAAAAACACATTACTGTTTTCAAAGTAAAAATCTTAGTTCAGTGTAGCTCAAACATTGAGACAGGTCTTTCTGTTGTGGAATATCCAACAAAAGTAATATTTTTCTTTGTGTTTTGTGTATTTTTTTGGTTGGTTTTAACTTTTAGTTACATTAGACTCCCTCTTATCCGGACTCCTCGGGACCGAGGCCAGTCTAGATGAAGGGTTTTCTGGTTAAACTGACGTCCCCAAAAACTTGTTAAAACCGTTTAAATGCATACTGTATACAGTATTTGACTTATATTTAGGAGAGCATTGTATTTAGAGAAGTTATCACTGGTCTCAAATCAATCCAATGAGAAGAATGGTTTCAGTACCTCCCACTTCCTGCCGATCTAGCCCGGTTAAACCGATGTGCTGATAAAAATCGTCCGGTTAAAGAGATGTCATTTCCGCTGAGTGTAGTCCGGTTAAACCAATGTGCGGTTAAAAGGTGTCTGGATAAGAGGGAGTCTACTGTAATAAAAATCGTCCGGTTATAGAGATGTCATTTCCGCTGAGTGTAGTCCGGTTAAACCAATGTGCGGTTAAAAGGTGTCCGGATAAGAGGGAGTCTACTGTAACTCTTTTAAGCCTGACACTATAATAATCTTTAGTTTAAAAACAAAACAATACTTTCACGAAAAGAAAATTGAAATCTTATTTCAGGCCAAAAAGAGGACTCCGTATCAGTGGCGAAACAAGCCCGTGACACCTTCGAAGGCAAATTTGACCATCAAGTTCAAAACTGACCCTTGTGGTGGAATGTTGAACATCTCTGATCAGTTCATACAAAGTCCTGGCTACCCTTCTGGCTACCCTGCCAACATGGACTGTGCTTGGCTAGTTAAGCTGCAAAGTAATGCACAGATAAAGGTTAGTGAGATGATTTGAAAAATTCTAGTTTGTGTCTTTGCATGGTATTCTACTTTCTTAAATTCCTCCCTGTGATTATTTGGATCAAAAGACATCAGTTCTTGTGGAAGAGGTCTTAAATTATGTAGTTTGTGTATTTAAACATTGGTTCAGAACATCATAAAATGTGTATCCTAAAACCATTATAAAATATTCTGCATGAGAGGTTGGACACAAATGTGGTACTTGTTAATGGTTAGGTTAGCTTTGAATTATTACGAGTTTCGTATGTTGCTATTTATAAAGTAGTCTAGCTACTTGTCAAGTTACATTTAATGATTTTAAGGCTATGCAATGAAGAAACCAAGTGCAAAGTGAGAATTAACAATGAATATAGTCAAGAGTTTAGTATAAATACTGGAGTTCGTCAAGGGGATGGACTATCACCTCTACTGTTCAACCTAGCTTTAGAAGAAAGTTTGAGACAAGTTAACCAATGCAACCCGGGACTAGAAATAGGGAGAAAGATAAATATTCTAGCGTATGCTGATGACATTGCTCTCATGGCGGAAAATGAAAGTGATTTAAAAGTTTTAGCAGGAACACTTATAAGGAAAGCAAAAGAAATAGGCTTAACAATAAATGAAAATAAAACCAAGTATCTAATAGTAGGACGAAATCCACCACAAACACATCTTCCTCTGACAGTAGAATCCTACTCCTTCCAAAGATGTACAGAATTTAAGTATCTAGGAATAATTATTGATCAATATAACACAGAAGAAACTGAAATTAGATCACGACTGCTCAGTGGTGACAGATGTTACTGGTCCTTGCAAAACCTTTTGAAAAGTAAACTGTTATCCAGAAAAACCAAATTAAAAGTCTATAAGACTATTATACTGCCTATAGTTACCTACGGATCTGAAACGTGGGTACTAACCAAACAAGATGAAAAGAAGCTAATAATTTTCGAAAACAAAATTCTCAGACGTATATATGGCCCAATTGAAGAAGAAAGAATTTGGAGGATTAGAACAAATAAAGAATTACGTGAGGTCTACAAAGATTCGGATATTACTGCATTAATTAAAAGCCAAAGATTTCGATGGGCAGGACATGTCTACAGGAGACCTGAAGAGTCAGTCTTGAGAACAGTGACGGATGCTGTACCTGTAGGAAGAAGACCTTTAGGACGCCCAAGGCTGCGATGGTGGGACCAAGTCCGGAGGGATATGAGAAGGATGTCCGTTACAGAGGAGATGATGAAGGACCGAGAAAGATGGCGCAAAGCTGTTGGAGAGGCCAAAAACCTGCTTAGGTTTGAGTGGCCAGCTAGGTAAGGTAAGGTAAACATTTAAAATCATAATTTTGTGACAAGTATACTAGTAATATGTAGAAGGATTGCCACACCACATTTAACATGGTTTGAAGTTTTTGACCCTAACTTGAAAGCAGCAGTGTACCTAAATTGCCAAATAACGTTTTACATTACAAAGCATTGTTTGTAAAAATGTTACGTTCTCATTAATGACCTATTTGAATGACAAATAATTTGATATTTTGTCACGACCACGACATGTTTGCTGATGATCATCAATAAAAAGCACAAACAACTCTTCCTTCCCAGTTTGGTCCAAATATGGGAATTGACCTTAGGTATTTCCTCTCCATTTTCTTATATCCTTCCTCATTTCTTCTTCCTCCACCATCTTGCATATCCCTCCTTCCTCTCCTTGTTCCTACTCACTTCATCTACCCATCTTCTACAACTTCCTCTCCTTTCCTCAATAACCATAAATTTTTCTTGTAAGTGTATGCAATTTATTTCTACTCTTGTGTTCTTCCCATGTATCAATAAACACTTAAGAGTTGAAATGACAGTAAAAAATGGCAACGATAGAATTCATCAATAATTTAACCTTGTACTTGGCTGGCTAAATACACAAGTTGACCTTACAGTTGTTTAAATTCAGGACACTAGAGTCCCGCTGATTTGAACACTGTTCATGCGGACAATCCAAACCCCCTATTGGAGTAAAAGGTACTACATATCAATTAAAAATAAAGCTTAGTGTTCTGAAATACTGACCAGGATGTCCAGCTGAAAGGAAAGTTGTGAATTTTACTTATACTTTGATGACAAGGAAAAAGGCTGATTTGTATGGAACAGGGAAATTTTAAATAATTGCTAGTATGTAGTCTGTGGCTGAAAATCCATTCATCAACAGTGGTTTTTTTATGTTGTAATGTAATACAGTAAAAAAAATACATTGCTTGCTTTTTAATGCAATTTTACTGCTATTGAGCAATTTGGTAATCTGAACAGTATTTGATCCCAGTTAGATCAGATTAGCAAGTCTCTGGTTTGTGTAGAATAATTCTGTCTGCTAAGTGTAGACCTGGACACACACATATTATGCAGGTGGAGATTATAAAGCTAGATTTGGACATGGATTGTGGCAAAGACTTTGTCCGTCTGTACAACGGAGGCAGCCAGTCCTCGCCACTTCTGACAGACACCCTGTGTGGAAACTCGCCTCCGACAACACTCAAGACTCAGGATAACCTTCTGTTTGTGGAGTTCCACTCTGGCCCAGTGAAGAGCTCACATGGAGGCTTCCAGATCAAAGTTACTGAGGATTTTACAGGTGAGAAACTTTTGATTATGTTGCCTTTTTGTAGATATCAAATCAAATCAAATCAAATCAAATAATCTTTATTCATTTTTTTGTATTTACATGAATACATTGAATAGAGTCACATTTCTTATAACTAATGTCCTTAATTAAAATATAATGGTTACAAATAAAACTTTTTTATGTTGTTGTATGACAGTGACACTAATAATTCTTTTTTTTATTTTACATTCCTTGAATTAAAAAAATCTTTACTTGAAAAGATAGGATGAGTCAATAGGTATTCCTTAAGGCGGGTTTTGAAACTGATATATTTTTCTTCACAAAGAATATTCTTCGGTAGATTATAAAGAAATTTAGTACCAATAAAAGTTGTTTTATTTTCAAAAATCTGTAATTTATGCGGTTCTACATATCTGTTATTTCTCAAGTTGTATGTATGTGATTTTTTACTGTATTTTTGTGTGTTTAATTTTTTTACATGTAAAATGGTTTCAAATATATATAGGTCATAAACCGTCATGATTCCTAATTTGGAAAAATATGGTTTTGTGGATTTTCTATTTTTTATATTAAAGATAATTCGTAATGCTTTCTTTTGCTGTTTCAGAATTTTTTTAAGGTTTTTATTGCTAGTCCCGCCATATATAGCAATACCATAAGCCATATGCGAGTTGATCAGAGCAAAATAGATTGATTTGAGAGTGTTAATATTGCATACATGAGACATTTGTCTCAAAGCATGTATGCCAGTTGACATTTTATTTACTACATGATCAACATGCTTATCCCAACTCAAATTCTCGTCTAGAATCAATCCAAGGAATTTTGTATGGTTTACTTGAATAATTTTTGATCCATCTAGCTGAACGTTTGGTTGTAATTTTAATCTAGCCTGTTTTGTATTGAATGATAAAAAATTTGATTTATTTGAATTAATTAAAAGATTTTTACTGTTTGAAAATTCACTGACTGATACAAGATTTAAAAATGTTTTAAGCTCTATTTCTTCCTGGGATTCCCCTGTAACTATGATACTGGTATCATCAGCATACAGGCATACAGAACCTCCTGCATTTATAGCTTTTGGCAATCCTCTCATGTAACAAAGGAATAATAGAGGGCCTAGGATGGATCCCTGAGGAACCCCGTGTTTTATTGTTTTAAAATCGGAATAATAGTTTTGAGTATAAGTGTATTTACTATTGGGATAATTTAATTTATGTTGAATTTGGACACATTGTTGCCGATTTTTTAAGTAAGAAGAAAACCACTTGTGCTCCTTATTATCAATATTCAAACTAGAAAGAACATCAAGCAGCTTATCATGAGTCACACTGTCGAATGCCTTTGAAAAATCAAGGAAGATCCCAATTACTTTTTCATTTTCGTTGATTGAGTTTATAATCGATTCAATAAAGTTTATTCCTGCAGTAATCGTAGATTTACCAGGGCGAAAACCATGTTGTTCATTGTCAAACAACAGATTACTTTCTAAAAAGTTTAGCAGTTGGTTGTACACCACTTTTTCTAAAATCTTTGAAAAAACCGGTAATAATGATACTGGTCTATAGCTCGAGGGTTCGAATGCATCCCCTTTTTTATAGACTGGCACAATTTTAGCAATTTTTAATTTACAAGGAAAATGGCCGGAAATTAAAGAAGAATTAATAATATGGGTTAATGGTTTTGAGATAAGTGGGAATGCCTGTTTAACTACAGCAACTGGAATTTCATCTATACCTGTTGAAAATTTATTGGTTAAGGACCTTATTATTTTTTCCACATCCCTTTCATCAACCTGCTTGAATTTGAAGTAGCTTGTGGGTTTAGGTGGATCATCAAATTTCAATTGTTGAAGTTTATTGTTGTTGATGTTTGGAAGAACTAAGTTATCAATTACATTTATAAAATAATCATTTATTACATTTCCAACCAAAACAGGATCCGACTCGGGCTTACCATTTGATCTGATTTGCATGTTACTGTTTGGTTTTGTTTTGTTGTTAATCTCAGAATTGATTATTTTCCAAGTTGATCTAACTATGTTTGTGGCTTCTGAAATCTTTTTATCAAAATATTTTTTTTCTCATTTATTAGATCAAACTTTAACTCTTTTTTTAACTGTTTAATTTTGTGTTTGGTGTCATCATTTTTAAATAATCTGTATTGTTTTTCAAGCTCCACAATGTTCAGTTTTTTTCTCTTAATGTCAAGAGATATCCATGGATTGTTGTTGTTAATCTTTTGAGTTTTTAACGTTTTAGGAAAGCTATTTTCAAAGGTGTGTAAAAAAATTGAATGGAAAGTGTCATACTTTGTTTCTACTGTTGCTTGGTAAACTTCATGCCAGTCAACTTTTGCCAATAGTGTAAGGAATACGTTTGTATTAGTATCCGAAAAGCTTCTTGTATAAACTTTGTTTACACAGTTCTTACAACTATTTACATCAACCATTTCAAACAACTGTGCATCATGATCAGAAATACATGTTATAATACCAGATATTTTTAATTTCTTATCCTTAATATTAGTTATAATGTTGTCTATGGCACTTTCTGTTTCTGAGGTAATTCTAGTGGGAAAATCTACTTTGTATTCCATATTATAAGATTTTAGAACATTCACAAAGGATTTGTAGGTTTTATCTTTGTTTAAAACATTAATATTAATATCTCCAGCTATAACAATATTTTTGAAATTTTTAATCAACAGATTACACATTAAATCCAGTTTATCTAAGAAAGTGCGGCTGAAGCAAGAAATTGGTGATCTATACAAACAAACTAATACAAATTTATAGGTATTTACAATAATTTCAGATATGCAACACTCAAACTCCTTTTCAACAATAAGATCTTGTATAGCGGGAATTTTAATACTTTTACTTTTTATGCTATCTTTGACTAAAATTAAAACTCCTCCTCCTAGAAAATGTTTTCTCGTGAAAAATGAACATTGTTTATAGTTTTGGATATGTAGGGACAAAATTTCGGATTCAATCATCTTGTGTTCTGATATTGCTACTATATCAGGCTGTATTTCTTCCAAATTAATTTTTATTATATTTAATCGAGAGGACAGATGTTGAACATTCTGATGTAGTATTTTTAAAGTTGTTTGAGTGTTGCTATTTTTAGTATTAACTAAAAAGCTTTGTTTACATGCAGAATCTTTTTCTTTGTCATGATTATTTAGTTTAAATCACAACTCAGAACGCTCACTCCACTGACACTATATTGCCCATGATTTTGAACACTTACACTTGACACAGATGTTGGTGGTGAAGGTACAGTTGAAGTCTGGAGACTACTCCCGTGGGTGGACATGGGCTTCCTGGACCGTTGCAGGTCTTGGCAACAGCTTGATAGGTTTGGCACTTCGCAGGAACTCGCTGTGGCCATCCTCTCCAAGGGGAAGTTTCTGAACTGACAGAAATATTCATTGAAGATGATGCTGGGGTCTGATTATTCGGTTGATTAGCTGAAGGAGTTTGTGGATGCTCTACTCTTGATAGTTGGAGATTGGCTGTGTTAGCTGAGCGTAAAAGGTCTTGAAGTTTATTTTTGAACTCCAAATGTGAGAGACCATTTCTCAGTGACTTATTTTTTGTTGCTTCGTTAAACAGAACAATGTAAACTTCAGCACCTGTGGATCTTTGGAACTGTAAGATATTATTAATAAAATGATTAGGTGTGATCTTATCTCTTGTACAACCCATTGGGGTGCATATTAATCTTCTTAGTCCTTTTAGTCTGAAATCCTCTATCAGGTGATTGAAGGACATATCATAGTCTTGTAGAGATGGTTTGGAATTGTAGGTGGGTTTTGTCACAAGGCCATATGTCATAGCCCCCCCATTCAAGCGCTGACATGCCAGATGATCACTAACTAAATCTGCTTCTGAAGGACTTCCCAGATGAACTTTGAATACTTTTGCTACACCAGCAGACATGTGTCGATCACTCTCAAAGTCGCGCGAAATACAATGACCAAAAGCATTAGTTCCTTCAGAATGAAATTGTTGTATTATGTCATTCATATTAGCTTCAATAATTTTTATTGGGATGTTGTCCTCTCTAATTGCTGTCTTTTCTTGAAGATTGGAATCATCAGTATCTTTCATGATTGACGGTTTGTTGGAATGTATCCTGATGTTTGGCTGAAGATTTTTCATTATTTTTGATACTATTATATTTTTACCAATATTATTGAAGTGGATTCCGGATTTCTCAAAGCATTTTCTAGAGAAACCTGTTAGGTCCAGGAAATTTACTCCCTTGAGTGTGTGGCAGATTTCATGAACAAATAAGTTATAGTTCATTATGTTTTCATTTATCTGGTCAGAAAGGAGAAGATCGTGCCTAAAAGGAACACTAGCTACAGTCACCTTACAAGGTTTCAAGGATGTTACGAGTGATTTTAATTTTTTGCATAATGACTCAGTTTGTCCATTATAAATATTATTTGCCCCAGCAATAAGTACGACATGGTTGTTTTGCGTACGCACAACATGTTGAGATTCCTCTATGATGCGATCTATCACTGCACCTGGCCTTACAATACTATTAATTTCAATATTTTCATCATACTTGTCTTTCAAAAGCTGGTCAATCCTCCTTCCATGGCTGTCACTTAGAATAGTAATAATTTGCCTTGTTTTTTGTTTGAGACATGTATTTTCTTTTTGCTTCTTCATTAAAGAATCAGTTTTACCTGATGCAACAACTTTGGAGTTATCAATTCCAGTAGGTTCTGACACAATGTCTGTTTGCACCGCAGAGTCAATACAGCTAGGTTGTGGTGTTGAATGAAGGTCTGTCTGGAGAACAAGTGACTGAATAATGCTCTTTGGTGTTGAAAAGTTATTGATCACTATGTAAGCAATAATCACTCTCTTTTGGATACATTCTGTTTCAGACAAGTCAGGGATATTTAGAGTTTTGAAAAAATCTTTGCTTTTATAGTGCTTGAGAATATGCTCAGCAGCAGTGTCGGTTCCAAGGGGGGGGCTACAGGGGCTAAAGCCCCCCCCTTGGACCCTGGAAAAATAAATTTTAACGTACATTTCGTCCTTTAAATACTGTCATAAAACAGACATCAACGTAGGTTTATTAAACTTAATGAGCGATGGCAGGAGTAGTATTAAGTTTCACATAGATAAACTTTGTGGACAATAATAGCACAACGAATAAAACAATATTACGCTATGGAAAGTTGTACGCATCATCCAATTTTTACAGCAGTCAGCTGACATGCTAGGGCAAAGGCGAGCGCGCGAGCGAGGACGGGGAAACAGCTGATTTCCTGAGTTAGTTGTCAAATGGTCTGCTAGCCACTAACTTTACACAGGCATCAATCAGCAATCAGCGGTAGCACCACTAGCCTGTTACCATTGACTATATAAACACTAAGTGTTAAAGTTTATATATTCAATGCTATTACTGAATTCAATACTATAAATATTGTGACAGATCTATGAAATGGAGAAAAACGTAAGGTTAATAAACGTGTCTACTTGCTTGCGTGACATAAAACAGGAGAAATGGAAGGTTATAGGACAATTAGACACAGTTCTAGCCGTTATGTTTTGAGTCACCAAACGGCTTTTAGGAGATTTGGCTTCGTAGTCTACAGTAGGCCTATGTTTTGGAATTCATGAATGCAAGTTCGTCATAGCTTGATTATTTTAATGTCTACTTGCTCATGACAAAACAAATGACAGGTGAAATGAGAAATTTTTGAATAGTTGGCCACAGATATAGACATTAATAATGGCTTTAGAAAGTCAGTAAAAAGCTTTTAGGAGGATATGGCCGTAGCCTACAATATGTTTTGAGATTTATGAATTAATGCAATCGTCATAGTTACTGTAGATTTAATTTAAAATGTCTACTTATTCATGACAAATAAATGGGGAAATGGGAGGTTTTGTACACAGTTCTAGACGTTAAAACTGGCTGTAGAAAGTCGCCCAACGGCTTTTAGGAGGATATGGCCGTAGTCTACAGTGTGTTTTGAAATTCATGAAAGCAATCGTCATAGTTTAATTTTTTAAATGTCTATTTGCTCATGACAAACAACAGGTGAAATGGGAGTTTATGGACAAATGGGCACGGTTTTGGGTGTTAAAAATGGCCTTAGAAAGTCACCAAACTGCTTTGAAAATTCAAAATTTTCCCGGGGGAGGACCCCCTGGACCCCCCTTCTTTGTTGGGGGGTGCTCCACACCCCCCAAGCCCCCCGGTAGCCCCCCCCTTGACATGGTCCTAGAACCGCCACTGCTCAGCAGCATGTAGCATGAAAACACCACAGTCATATGAATTCCTTTGTACTGGTCCTTGAACAGCTAAGATATTAGATTCTTCCGTATTTTGCAAGTACTTCGAGAGCTTACTACACACTAGCTTTGCAGTATCTACACTAGAGCTATTTTTAATTGAGTCGTAGTAGTAGTAATTGTTTGATTGCCTTTCATACGCAATTAAACTCCAGTGTGAGCCTTCTACGGTTTTGTAACTATCTTTATTTGTAGGATCATACTTAGCGTTGTTAATAGGGACAAGTAGGATGTTTTTTTCTTTTAGGAGTAAAGGATCCAATATAACGTTGATGTCTTCCAACCCTTTAACTGCCTCCACTAGCACTGGATTCATCAGAAAGACATCACCATTATTTCCCACAATATTCATTGTCAAAACTTCAAAGTAAGTAGCAATGGTTTCATCCCATAGCCATGTTTGACCCATAATTTCAAGTTTCTTTTCTTTCTTTTCAACACTTTCTTTTAACAACTGATTTTCTTTTAACAATGATTGATATTTATTCTCCAAATCATTTAAACTTTTCACAGGACAAGTTTTATCTTCCAATGTACTATCTATATTTGTCTTACAGTTCAATAAGGAAATATCATTTTGTACAAATTTTTTTGATACTGCCTTTTTTAGCAGTGCCGGTGACACATTTTTTATTTTTTTAGTTACATTTGCATCTGGTATAGGACTCTTTTTCAGTCCATTATTTTCTTTAAACTTAGATTGAGCCCTTGTTTTAATAAATGGGCTAGGTTTTTTGTTATCAAGAGTCATGTTCTTAAACCAAATAATTCAATCAATGAATTGAAACAAGAAACATAAATAATTTGTTAATGGTGACAGTAGTATAGATGTATCTGAGACAAATCGATATGAGGTTTGTTTACATTGGCTTATCAGCATGTGATAAGCTGTCTGCTGGTGTACCTTGATTCCATCAATGAACCTGAGTTGTGGTGGTGGTGGAAGCATACGTCATAAGGTCCAAGTAGAACAGGAAAGTGTCTGCTGAAGTCAAAGATGAGTGCTTCCTTTCTGTCTTCAGTTTTAATATTTATTATTTTGTATCTATGGTTATGTTTTAATTTGTTGAAACTGTGTAATAGCTGTCAACCTGATTGTTGAAATATCTCTTAAGTTGAAAATTGTCTGTGAATTGTGTTCAAACTTGAAAACTTGTATAGTGGAAAAACATGTGCTTTTTGAAAGGAAAAGTGGTAAGCTTTTAAAAGTTAAGTTTTAGATATTATGAGCCAATAAAATACATCAGTGGTTGTTACAGTTCATAAAACTTACTTCAATGTTCTGTATTGCATGCACATTACCGACAATAACTTTAAAAAAAAACTGAACTTTTTAAAAGAACTTGGGGAGACAATTTAACCAATGTTTATAAACTTGAACTTGAACTTAAAAGTCACCTACCTTATTGTTATACCTTATTATATACCTTATTGTTCTTGAAGTTGTTCAGTAAAGACCGATGCGCAATTTGCCTCATTGATGTCTTTTCAGAGTGTCTACAATATTAAAACTAGATGTCACTATGCAGTGCTCGATTTGTAGAAAATGATGTGCCGGAACTGTAACCTATTTAATGTGATTTGTAACTTTAGTATTTATGCCTATATTTTTATCTTCCCGAAAGATAGGTCTTGGTACTTAGTTCTGCCACGTTCTCCCGCTAATCGAGCACTGTCACTTTGTACAATGTTTGTAAAGCACTATTATTTATTAAGATCACTAATCACTGGGGACACTCACGTGCCTGTCTGGTGGACAGTCACTTTTTGACTGGAGCCGTCAGGCTTTTTGTAATTTATTGCTTCTCTGCCCAGCACAAAAAAAAATATCCTGCAAGATCGAACTTTGGCTGTAAAACGATAAAATGAAATATATTCTCTTTAACAATCAAATGTATTACCCTCAGCTTGCGGAGGCATTATTCACCTGCCTACTGGGTCCCTGCAGAGTCCCAACTATGGGACTGGCGACTACCCCAACAACACGGAGTGTGAATGGACAGTAGTGTTGCCTCCTGGCTCTCACGCAGCTATCTCACTGAAGGATCGCTTCAACCTGGAGAACTCTACGGACTGCAAAAATGACTACATTCAGGTACGATGAAACACTGAGGGACTAGAAAATATTTGGACTATGTATATATATTTCAGATTTACCTCCATTAGTTGTCCAAATTACATCAATATTTCAATTATTTACAGCTGACATGTTCCCTTACAATCTTTGGAGCTTACATACGTTGAAAATCTTCAAAATTTCAGACGAAACAGTACATTACACACGAGACATTTACATACACAAAACACAATAGTGCTATCATGACACGGTGGTGGTTGTAGGTAGACTGGACAGGGGTTATGTAACTTCGTCCCAACCTTATCTGTTATTAACCCGGTGGTCAACTGTTCCAGATAAGTTAACTGTGTTGAAGAGAGAAAGTGACTTGAACTGTATTTATCATTGAGGATGTATTCATTGCTTCCTTCGTCTATGTTAATTTTGTATATCTCATACTCCTCAAGTGTGTCCAATTAAGTAGAGGATATAGAATATTTTTGGAGGCCGCGATTAATTTAAGGTTAGGTTTGGTAATTAATAGTAGACACGTCATGATACTTTATCTCAGTTTTGCCGCGGTAATTTGTGCTAAATGTGACATTTTCTTGATCAAGATCCCGTTGTATGATTATACCGCATTCCGTTAAATCATAAAAATGTATCTATTCAAGCCAAATGAAGAAAATATTTCAATTACTAAATCAAAAACATAGGATTTAACAATGTGACATCCCATCTGTAAACACTTATCCGAACATAAGGAGTCAAATACGTGATTGTGGTTATCATATTCGTAGGGGTTCTTACTACTGTATAAGGATTCTTTTGTGCGAACTGCAAAACATTAACATTTCATTACAAGATAATTATGTCAAATAGATGTAAATAACAAACAATAACAATGGCTACCATTGAACTGACTGAACTCTTTATTAATCTTCTGTCACCGGTATATATGCTCAATCACTGTCTGCCACGCCAATGACTTCGTGAATGATTCATGATAAACGATTCATATTATGGTACATATTTTCTCTTCATATCCATTATTTTGGGTGGGTCCAGGCCCCCCCCTTAAATTCGCCCTTGGTCCATATTTATTACCTTTCAAGTTGCTAGCCTTGCCTAGGAACCCAGTTTTGGATCCGTTATATGTGAGCTCCACATTACTAGCTTCATTCCCACTGTTCTTGTGAACTTAACTCTAGATCAGACTTTTGCTTCGTCCGCTTCTTTATCAGTTAATGCTTTCTCTTAAAATCTAAAAAAATATTTTTGGTACCCATTTTATCACCCACAGGATCTTTTTAGGCTTAATCGAATCTGAAGTATGTTCTTCTAATACGAAGAAAGATGAATGTTGGGTGTTGGGTTATTGAGAGCTACAGCAAAAACTATTTGTTGTATAACATTGATTTTGGTCTCGAATTAAAGCTTGAAATTATTGGTTTTGTGTAGAATTATAATTTGACTTTACAGATCATTTATTAAAGTGACAGGAGTGTAAAATTGGTTGACTATTGGCAATGATTACAAACCCATCAAGAAGCGCAATGCCTTTGTAGAAAATTAAGTCTGAAAATATTTGAATTTTCGATAGTTCCCGCGGCAGCTAGGTAGACTGTCGCAAGCACGTAGCCAAGTCAGCTGACAGAGTGAGAGAGAGTGAGACAAAGAATTGGCTTAGAGAGAGAGAGATAGAGTAGTACGGCCGCTGTGCGAGCGATCATAGCGAAGCTCATTTTGGTGGTAAAATTCCAGTTTGACTATTCTCCATAAGCACTTTGCTCCTTAAAAGGGTTTGTATTCATTGCTATTGGAATTGTAAAGTTTGGTCAAAAATGGGGTTTTGTAGTGAGTTCAGGGTGCACAGTTGTTTTTAATGTACTATATTAATATATTAGCAGCCCTATTTAGTGAAAATCAAAACAAAAATGAAGATTAAGTATAATTTTATTTTGTTGATGTCAATATTATGTGTTTAGCTTCACCATTATTTCAGCCAGTAAGGTTTTTATTTAAGTAAAATTATTCTGTTCCAGATTTTTGATTGGCAAGAAGAAAATTGGAAACAAATTGGTGGAAACATTTGTGGTAGAGTCCCACCTACTGATATGAAGGCTTCAGGAAACAAATTTAGAGTTTTGTTCCGTACAAATCCTTCGATTACTGGTGACGGTTTTAAGGTGAATATATAAGTATAGTGAAGCTTCTTCAGTTGGCGTAGAGATAGTTCAAGTTTTAAAAAAGAAAACACTACTAACTAACTACTACTATGTAACTGTACCATTTGATCTACTATGTAATTGTGTCAATTTGTCCTAGGATAAAGTCTGAAACAACACAAAAATATCTCCACTTCACAAAACTAAATCCAAGGTCCTTAGTTAATTAATTCTAGCCTCGCTTGTTCTTTGAAGACTTGACAGTTCACTAGGAAAGGCCATCAAAGAGCAAAAATTATCGTATACTATATTGTTGTTCATCGTTAGAAACCCCCCACAGCTATATGGTTCATTTTTTGCCATTTCTCATTTCAATCCCTAATAGTTGCATAATATATCTACTCAATTGAGAAAGTGCCTGAGCACTATTTACTGCTTCAAAAGGTTTATTTAATTTTCTGATGACAAGTAAGATGACAGAAACACTTTCATATCATTAAAGTTGTATTTCAAAACTGTTAAACTATTGCAATACTAACATAATGTTGAAGTTTATGTTGGACCACTTTCGACTTTAGTTTAAGACCCAATAGTTAGATTATGAAAATTTTCCTATGTATCCAATAAGTGGTTTTTCATTATTGTTTGCTGCAACAATAAACCAACACTCGAGGGTGTTTATTATGAAATAAATATGTGTTGTTTTTTCTATAGCTTTCATGGCAGAATTTATGTGGGGGAATAATCCATGTGACAGGCAATGGTACCATCGTTTCTCCTAACTACCCTAAGTCATACTTTGGCGACTTGAACTGCAACTACACCCTCATAGCTCCTAAGCTACGAAGTATTTACGGTGTATTCGAAGATTTCGGTATTGAAAAAGCATACGGTAAGATTACCTTGATCAAAATTGAATAATAACTGTGTTTAACTATAAGTGGCTAAATCAATGATGCTCTATTTTTCATACATTGTAAATCCAATTCAGCAAACTTGTGGGCACTATGCTAACAATTCTTACAGTTCACACTTATGACAAGATCCTTGAACTTTGAAAATTCTGAACCATCGGTATGCACAACAATCTAAATATCTAAATATGACTCAAAATATCTAATGTGACTCTCCATGTTACAAAGGGGCCAGTGGCCTCGAAATATCCAATGTTTATTTTGTTTTGTGTTTTCTCCTGTGTTCTGTTGTGAATGAAGTGGATGCCTACATTTCTTAAGGTAAGCCTGCTTATCCTATCCTTTCTTACACCTATTCTCAGTATAATAAATGTATTATTTGAATGGAGTGGCTTCCAGTTCAGCAAGTAGAGTTGAATAATCCCAAGCATGAGTGTATGAACAATGAACATGCGGCCAATCATAACAGAAAGCACTTAAATTCTTACAATCTATGTAAAGTGCACCAATGTGCAAAATAAAATATGCAAAATAAATTATTACTATTTGTCAATTACATTGCAGAAGGTGAGCAGTGCAGGTTTGACAATGTCACTATCACCACGTTCTCGCCTGCCAATAATATGTTGTCGTGGCTGAGGTCGGACGTACTGAGTCGCTGGGGCCAACAATACTCCAATGTCAAAGAGACAACCCACTGCGGCTCTGACATCCCGGAACCTGTCTTCAGCAACGACAAACTCCAACTGCTCTTCAGAACCGACAAATTTGTCAGCTTCAAAGGGTTTCTTTTCCGTTACTCATTAATCGGTGAGTGATGTCAATCAATAGTAGAAAAATGTAACGGTTTTGACTGCTTGTAAAGAGTCTAGATGCAGATCCAAGGCTGGAAAACCGCTCTTCAGTGGATGAATGAAATTGTTCTTATTTTCTTGAAAATAAATATGATATATGAAAAATTAGGGATCAATTCACAATTGTACAATTTTAAATAGTTAAAAACATCATCTGATGTTCTTAACTCTAGCTGATTATTTTGCCCTCTAGCCTAGAGAGACAAAGAACTGTTTTAGACCTGTAACTTTTATATAAAAAAAACATTTTTGCTGTTTTTTGACCAAAAATCTATTACTATACTGACCAGCATAATAATACATGCAACTACTTGTATTTGTAATGTTAGTTTTAAATATTGATATGTAATGTATCAACACTCTAGAATACACCCATTTTATTTAGATCATTTTTCTTAGTGAATTTTTAATCCACCAAAGTAACTGTGAGTCCCGGAACTTCAGACAACTCGGAAAAAAAACTTAACGTTTTCAATGTTAAGTTACTCACAGAATAAGCACAGTTTTATTGACAATCTGTGTTTTGCAAGTTCTTTACCTTAATATATTGTGGTGTTTTTCAGAATGTGGGGGTAATGTTACCTCCCCCACCACCATCAGCAGTCCTGAACGCTCAAGGATGCTGCGAAGCTGTACCTGGTACATTACTGCCCCTGAGGGAAAAGTGGTCGTCGTCAAGTAAGTATCTGGTAGTAAGTCTAGCAAGGCAAAAGAAGCATGGGTGTACCATGATGATTTTATTATTTTTGAATCAATAGACATATCCACATATCGAACACGCTACAAATTTGAAATTCTATAGTTTAACAGATACTTACATAAAATACCCCCGCCGCAGCAAACCTGCCGACTAAGCGAATTTCCATTTGTCTGAATTGATTTTCAGTTAAATATATTTTAATAACATTAGGTTAGGTTAGGTTAGGTTTCGAGTACCTAGGTTTGCTGCTACAAGGAAACTAATAAAGTGTGTTTTTGAGTAAAATATTGATAGCTTAGTACAAAATAAATAAATTTGCCAAGTTTGATCAAAATATATCCATAAACAAGCAAACTACAACATTTGACAATATTCTCCATAAGAATAACATGGGAATTTTAAATGTACAATTTTTTTAATTTTATCCGTTACTAATAATCGAACAAAAAAACTTTTATATACTAAATTATTTGTTTTTTTAAGCTCTTTTAAAAGGTCTAAAGAGAAATCGGGAAATTTTGTGTTTTGAGGGTCAAAAGTGGGAAAAACCAATTTTTACCCCATAAAACCCCCCGTAAAGCCCCGTTCCCATGGTCCGATCGTGCTGGTTCGCGAACTCATTCAAGTTTATCCTGCTTTACACCTTTAAACCAAATTTCATCAAAATCGGACAAAAATTACTCAAGTTATCGCGTTCACGGACGTATATATATATATATATATATATATATAAGTCTATATATATATACATATATAAAAATTTGAACGAATGGTGTTATTGGCCTCTGGGGACATCAAAATGAAAAAGTAAATCGGTCCCGGGTCTAGGTCTTACCGTGCCACCTACGGTAATAGCTACTTCCCTATAGGGAAATTCGCTAATACTTCCCTATAGGGAAATTCGCTAAAAGTGTGTGTAGGTCTTATTTTATTCTGCTTCTGATTGATTCGGTGTGTTTATCAATGACTTTTAATGTTCCTAAGTGGATGAGAAATTAAATCACTGGGTTCATTAAACCATGAATTTTATGTGAATCCGTGTAAGTTTACAACGAGAAATTAAAATTTAGAAATGTTTACAAAATTGGTTAATTTACACAAAAGTCATAGTGCAAAATGGCCGACTCTTTCTTTTGTAACATTTATTGAAAGGAGACTCAATCCCCCCAATTAAGTTACTATTTTTCTACACATTTTTAAGATGACTATATTTGAATGAGTGTGTAATAAAATAACAACAAATTACGATAGTAAATTGCCTAATATCCCTTAATCGTTTTTGTTCTTTCTAGGATAAAAAAATCAAACCTTGGTTTTGTATCTTGCCATGACAATGGACTTAAACTGTATGATGGACACAATATCACAGATAAATCACATCTCATCCAAACATTGTGTGGATTTTTCGTCCCGAAGAAATCAAGATACGTGTCTTCTGATAATAAAATGGCCATACATTACTTCTTTGGCGAGTACTCATCGCTACTGACCTCATTAACTCTAGGGTTTGAAGCTGCCATTGGTTTTACATTAGGTAAGCAAATGTTTAAATTAAAGGGTTTTCCGGTAATTAAGTTTTTTTACAGCAGTATAGCTATATTAAGAAAGTTCAAATGAAGCTAAAGAAAATCTATACTACTCCTCTTGACCTGACTTTGACTCTTCATTAAATAGCAGGGATATACTAAACTCCAAAATGTGCTATATGATTTTGTGTTTCAAATAAAGTTGTTTAAGTCAAGTAAAAAACCTTCCTGTCACAAACATTTCATTAAGAAACTAAAAAGTAGCATATCTGGAGAAACGTAACATCATCATGTTTCTGGTAACATAACTATGAGAATGTTGTCCTTCCGCAACAAGAAACAAATTTCTCTTCATAAAAAGTATGCATTCCAGTATATATATTCTAGACAAGATTAACATTTTGATTTGTTTCCCAAACACAGTGGCGTCCCCAGGATTTCATTTCGGGGGGGATGACCACAGGAGGGCTGGGGGTATGGAATATCCCCCAGAATAAAGGGGGGTTCGGGCCACCCCCCTGGAAAAATATGGAGTTTTAAGCAAAAAAACATATTTTATACGTATTTGAGCTCTAAAATATGCTCAAACTAATAGTATTTATGTTAGCTAATAAGAGCTTCGCTCGCTCCGCTCAAAAAATATAAAATATTTCGGGAGGGGGGGATATCCCTCCCATCCCCCCTGGGACCGCCACTTCCCAAACATTTTCTCCACAGTATGTTTTTGTCTGGAAAAGGTCATTAACATTATTGTATTTTTTCTGAATTTTAAAAGCACTCCTTGCCTTTTGAACTGGTACCCCCACAATGTAAACTTACTGCATTATGGATAGTAGCCATAAAATATTCTACACATCTGAAATTCTTTCAAACTTTGAAATTTAAAATCATGTTGATTCTGCCATTTCAATGGACCACCAAAAGTGAGCTTTACCCATTTTCAAGCCATTTATTACTAAGCATGTTTTTTCAATGGTGTTCAAACTATTTTTTTAACTCAAAATACCAATTCAAACCATTTTTCGGATTCAAGCTATTGTTCTGATTGAAACTATCATCCCAATTCAAACTCAACTCGTTCCACTGTACCGTGTCTAGGTGAGAAGCAGAAGTGCGGCGGAACGATCTACACAGCCAATGTCACTTTGCCGTACATCCTGCAGGCGCCTGATGTAGACAGAGATGGCAAATACGAGCCGTTGTTGTCTTGTGATTGGTTGATACTTGCGCCTGAAGCCCATCAGGTGCGGATCAAGATAGACAGGCTGGACGTTCAAAACTGTACTGATGGCAATAACACCTGCACATGCGACTATCTCGAGGTAGGTTAATTTTCTAGGTTTTAATTAGGGAATTTGCAATAAATTTGTGTTTTTGACATAACTCATGCTTATAGTTGTCAAAGCTGATACATTTTATGACTTCCTGGGTGTAGTTTTGATAGGTTTTAGCCTATACTGTGACTGTAAATGTGATGTGAACCTCAAAATTAAAGTTCATTCAAACTAAGCTAAACTTGTTGGATACTGAAGTAGACATCCCATCTATATGGATCAGCCCTCAGCAGTAGCTTGTTTTTTATTAGGATAAAAGAGAACTTAGTTAAATGAGTCACTCACAGAGGGTTCTTCAGTCTAAAATTCTAAATTCTCCAATATTTAATGTTACTGAGATATTTTATGTGGCATAAATGATGCTACATCCTTCAATAAGTTGTCCAATCGGTTTGACTTTAGTTTAAATTTAGCGTAATTGATAAAAATTAGTAATTCACATTTGTTGCTCTATTAGTGCTCATTTCAACTACTTACAATTTGATTCAGATTAAACTTTAACATGGGATGGAATGCTTACAATCAATAGCCAAAGGCTAAATATAAAAAAATCTTCATATTCTTGTTTAGTTCTGTAAGAATTCTTGTACCACAGTTTGACCACACGATTTATTGTGTTTTAGGTTCATGACGGGGAAAATGACGCCACCACCCTGATAGAACGGTTCTGTGGGAACACGGCTGAACCCAACGTCTTGACTTCATCCATGGGAAGCCTATTTGTACATTTCTTCACCGACGGGGCAGTGCAAACCTCTGGTTTCCAAATATCTGTGACTTCTTTTGTTTGTAAGTTAACACATTTTTCTTAAGCCAAATTGCTGTGGAACTTCAGAAACTATGACGAAGTAAGCCTGTAAAATTTAGAAAGATAAAGATTTTAATGTTTTGTTACATTCCTACCCTACAAAAGCTTACAGAAATATTTTGTTATGTGTTTTGTTTTAATGTTTCAATCTACTTTATTCAGAATTTTGTTCAGGCACAGCAATCGCATGTTTCAACTACTCGTTGAGTACTGAATATAAGATCATTCTGAAGCAAGCCCTGTCAACTGTACGCTAAGCCAAAAAGTATGTTATTTTCTAGAAAACCCTTATGTGTTCAAGGAAAGTGGTATGATTTTTTTTTATTAGATAATTCAATTTTTTAGATTTGAAAACTTCATCCTGTATGCATGAGGGTTGTGTGTAAATTGAGGTTTCCAATGAGCTCCCGTTTCCAAATTGAGGAACGCTCTTTTTTTCCGGTTTTGTGGTGCCAATGTACAACCTTCTTCAACTCCCTCCACTTACACACACTTCTTACATCTATAGACCTTTATCCTTAATTTGGTAATGGATTTCAATTGGAGCTGACCGCTTAATTCACAAAAATCCTATAAATAACGTAATTCTTACTTGACAGGAGAATCAACTTTCCTTGACCTAGTTTAGGCTTTCACGATGATACCAAGTGATGCATAAAGGTGGGAAGCAACCCTAACTAGTATTGGGGGAAGTAAGGAGCTCAGCCCTAGTGTTGGATTTTTACTAGATCGCTGTGTCTAGACTCAAGCTCAGTGGACAGCCCTTGTAAAACATCCACTTGTAATTCTAAGTATAATGTAATGTTTGTTTAGCCCCTTGTGGAGTAACTGTGAGGAACGCAACGTCAGAAACTCAAGTGCTCGAGTCTCCCAGCTTCACTGGAGACCACATTCAGAGCTGTCTGTGGTTGATAAGCACCCCACGAGGCGGTGGATTACTGACTGTACGATTTACATCTGTCAACATTCCATCCCCGTGCACCAACAACTACGTCACTCTCGTAGAAAAAGTCTTTGTAAGTATTTTAATCCCTTAAAACAAATTGATTGTAATACCATATAAATTTTGTTCAACATAATCATTTTGCAAGTTAGGTCAAGGATTAACTAATCAAAGCAACACATTTCAATATTTTTTTTCCTTAACAATGTACAAGACTAATAAGAAGTTACCAATTACATGGTTTTACTGTTTTCCATTTTAACCCTTTCAGCTACATTGTCTGATCAGACTAACTTAACCAAATTTATACTTTCACATAATCTATGGGATTGAAACACAAAACTCAACCAAGATGGCTGCAGGTTATACCTGACATTTGTTGAGCAGTGGTTTTAGTTCAGTCAGTTAAGCAATTTCTGCTCCAGGCCACTCCAAACCTGGCTACGCCCCTGAATCAGATAAAAGGAAATTCGCTTAGTTTGTAGGTTTGCTGTGGCGGGGGTATTGTATACACACTTTTTTCCAAATTACTAAAGATTGTTTGTATTGTTTTAGCTTGTTAGAAACTTTCCGCTGCCCGAATTCAATATAGGTTCAGGAGCTGAATCTCGTACAGTGGTAAGTAAATTGTGCTATTTATGTCTACTGTTTTAGAGTAAAGGTTTTAGAGTTGTAGGCTGGATCAAGCTATCTGTGTGTTTATTTAATTTAACTGAGTATTTGCTATTCTTAACTTTGGTCATGTTCACATTCACAGGTTTATTAAGTTTCTTTTAAATATTTTTTAAAGTTAAATTACTGCCAGCCTCAATGAGTATTATAGTATTCAAATTTAGTAAATAAGTAATGTAACTATCCTTGCTCTTAGATGATGCAATTCAACAATATTGTATTGTTGAAAGACCGAGTAACTGAATATTCATTATTAATAAATGGTCCTGTCTGACTAATGAAACACGTGGTCTTATAGTCAGTAACAAAGCTATCCATATTTCGGTTAAAATACGCACATAGATGGCGTCCCCATCTCAGATGGTAATAATAATAATAACTTGAATGGGAATGACAACAGTTTTGTAATGAGTTATGAATACATTATAAAGCTTTACTATGATGAAGATTACTGTTGAGTGTTTGTTGTGGTTTGACACGCCAGGGCACGCCAGTTAGAATCTGTGGCAATCGGACGACAGATATCACAATGTCAGCTCGCTCAGTTCAGGTGAAATACTCAACAAACAGAGCCGGACCACATACAGGATTCAAAATGGAGTTCAAGATGAAGAAGGGTAAGAAAAAAATGTAATTGTTTTACGATTTTTTTGTGCCAACAGTTTTTTGTAACGTTTACTCTTTCAGCTTGTTTTTAATCTACTTAAATGGTCTGTCTTTCCTTAGTTTGAGTAAAACATTTATCTCTCCAAGTTTTAAAAGGAATTTATATAAAATTTGAAAGTAAAAGTGCAATTAACATTGTAGTAGGAATGTGTTTAATCGAATATCAGATTTTAAATCCTCAAAAACAGTTACTTTTGAAATTTCATCAATTTTAAGTTTGCTGACTAAAGATTCTACTACCCTACTAAGGAAAGGAAGGGTCAAGGAAAGGACAAAGTAAGGAAACAAAACAGATAAACCCTATCTCTAGGACAATACTAAAGGACATCGAAAGGCAACTGACAGGAGTAATTTCTCACAAAAGTGTATGCATGCTGACCGGCAAAAAATCCAGACAAAGCATTCATTGCATATAACCAGAAATTTTCTCCCCTTTTCTTGTCCTGTGTAGTCCAAGGAAAAGGACTTAAAGTGTCACAGTTTAAAAACTAAGGGATAAAATATAATGTTAGACTATAGTACACTACTTGAGTGGCCCATTCATCGATCTTTTAGAATCAAAAAGTGCTATAGCTGTTTCCATATACAGTAGATGAGATGTCTCTTTTAGTATCCAAATGTCAATGGTGAGACTGAAATGTCTATTTGACTGTACTATTGTTTTGTTCCAGATTGTAACAGTAACCTGACCACTCCGTATGGTAGAGTGGTGGCCAACAGCATGTACCAGTTTAGTGACTCTTGCAACATCAACATAAGTCAGGCACAGTCCAACGTCACCATTTCATTGTACTTCAACACGTTCATCTGTCTCTCTATGGGAAACGCAAACACCGGGCTGAAAGTAAGTTTGATTAACCATTTTTAGATGGGAGATGTTATATCTGCTTCGTGTTTTGGTAATGACAGTTGACGAATATATCCCCATAATGGTGGTAGATGTTGTGCCAAATTTCTGCTTTCTGCCAAATAAAAATTTCTGCCAATTCAGTAGACAGACTAATTGGTGTTTGTACAGTGACCAGCTGGTTCATGACGTCACTATCCCGCACTATCTATTGTACACCAAGGTCCCTAGTTTTAATATTTTTACGTAAGAACGGCCCTCTTTAAGGGTCAGTGGAGCCCTGGGCAAACCCAAGATCAGCGCCCCTCTTTTTCCTACTGCTGGCAGGCGGTGGTTTGGGGGCGCCCAGGGCTCTACTGACCCCTCGCCCCTGGGCATATGCCTAGTCTGCCCGTTTATAAAAGCGGACCTGCGTAAGAATCGTTATTGCATTGGTTTATATAGTATGCATTAGACGTTGCTAATTTGACAAGTTTTAGGGGACATGCATTTGACTGTAAACACTGTTATCAGGACTGGCCTTATAGTCCCAATTAATCAGGATAAGAGAGAGGGAGTCTAATTTATCAATTATTGAAATCAGTTGTGTATGCCATGATGCTGAATTGATTACAAACCAATCAGATAAAATTTCAAATTTTTTTCAGATTTACGACGGTCCTAATGATCAGGCGGAAGAAGTGGCAAGTTACTGCACACCATTCAAACGTCCAAATCCAGTGTTTTCAAAGGGACCTTCAATGTACTTAGTGTTCAACAACTTCAAGAATGTAGCACGATACGATATAACTTACACAACAACTGATCAAGGTACTTTGGTGTTTAAAATGGTAAGAGAATTTATATTCTCTATGATTTTTGGCTTAATTTTTCTAACATCCCATATCATTATGATTAATGTTAACTTTTACACATGTAGTATTACTTATCATATTGTCTTACAATATAAAGCAAATTATGAGGATAGCTCTGTCGGTTGGTAGTGTTTTGTTGTTTAATATTTGTTTTATGTGATTAAGCTTCTTTTTAAACAGTTTCAACTAAATTTTTGATATATAAATAGCTTCTCGTCTGGTGTTATAAGGGAATAGAATGAAATATATTGAAAAATCTCTAAAACAAATTAGATACATTTAGTCACTATTAGCGTACTCAAATGTTACGAACATGAAACAGAGTCACGTCAAAACAGGCTTCAAATTTAACAATGGGATAAGAGGTCTACTTTTACTGTAAGTTAGGTGTACCTCATGAGAACGATTGTATTCTATCTTACTATATATATTCTCATCTGTTGCAATAGGTAGAGGATGCGGTGGAAGGTTCAATGATATACTTGGAAGTTTCTCTTCCCCACTATATCCCGCACCCTACAAGAAAGACTCTGCTTGTCGTTGGGACATTACAGTACCACATGGCAGTAAAATATACTTCAACTTTATATGTAAGATTCAATTATATGTGCTATCTTAGTTTTAAACTACTCTTAAAATAGTTTTAATGAAGTGGAAATATCATGGTTTATAATTTTTCTTTTTGATTGAGAATTGGAAAAGGTTGAAACATGGTTGGTGTACTGTTTAATCATTGTGAAGGAAAACTAATTGTTTTAACATTTATTTTCAGAATCAGTACTCATATTTATAGCTTTAAAATATTTTAACACTTGTGATTCAGTATATTTTTTTAAAGTTGTAAAAAGGTAATCAAGTTATAGTATGTGATCACGAGGCATCTTTGTTGTTTATAATTAATTACTATTAAATTTACAGTTTTTGACATCGGAGTAACATCTACATGCAGTACAAATTATATTCAACTGTACGACGTTGACACGAAAACAGGATTGGAAACTGTGCATTCGCGATACTGCGGGCAAGTAAGTAAAACCTCATCATCATGTTCAAAAAGTAAAATGGTGTGTCACAGCTTAGGGAACTTATGTGCGTCATTGGAATTCTTAACTGATGTGGGTCGTTTGGGGGTTTGCAGGTTAACTTTGATAGTTAGTTAACAATGACGGGATACTAGATATTTTATGATTGGCCTCTTGATCGTCAGGACTAACAAATAAAAATAAAGATTTCAGTTACCGGTGTTACTGTCAGAGCAATCCCTAGTAGTTTTAATAAAAAGTGTTTCGTTCAGCAAAAATTTTAGAAAATTGTCTAAGCAGATTAAAGATGTGATCAACTTGTTTACAACAACAAAAAAATGGAGTTAAATTAAAATGTAAGGATCGGTCTAATATCAAGACTGATTATGTAAACTTTGATTTATTTGAAATTTGAGTCATTTAGAAAGAGTGCAAAACTGAAATAAGGCCCTTGATTCAGTTTCTCTGGGGTATTAAATGTGAATATGTGCTACGATTTTGTGATTCAAACAATTTAAATTGTTAAGGATAGAGCACAGAACACACTTGTAACATATAACACAAGGACCAAGGAACGAGGATAGTACGCTTACTTGAATGGGGAAGTCCACTCTGGCCCGACACAAAAAGAGCAAATAAAAACAATCAAAAAATATAACAATTCAAAATGTATTTAGTGTTAAGTTTTTGTTTTTTTCCCCTTGAGCCAGACTAGACTCCTTCTTATAGGTAGGCCCTATGCCTGACGTTCTTAAAAAAAAAAAACTTTAAATATACAGTTAGAATGGTGACTCTTAATTTTCCAAATAGATCTCAAACTTCACATTTACAGAAACTATTTGTTAAATATTCACTTTCGAAAACAGTTTTCTTAAACGTTTATAGTAATTTTTATTGACTGAATACTCGCATGTTCAAAAAGTTCACTGGTGACGATTTCTTCATATGATCATGATTTATTTTATGTTGTTTCACTACTTTGTTACTCACTGCAATCTTGCAAGAACATTTTTCAGTTTTTGTTTATCCTGTAGGAGAAGCCAGCCGAGGTTGAGATGACTGGTGACTCGGCCATTGTTCGTTACTTCACTACGAGTCACAACAACGGCACAGGCTGGGTGCTTCAATGGGCGACTCACTCCAAATATGATAAAGGGTTTTCTTTTGCTTTACTCTAAACGATTATAGTTCCTGTAATTATGTTTTTCAATGCTGAACAATCAGTTTTATGTATAGCATAAATGTAAAATATTATGAATATTTTTGTATAGATAAAATATTTGTAAATAAGATAAGTTAATAAGATAATTATGTTGTTACGTTTTGTTTTTTATTTATTTTCTCCAATGGTGATTTTTCCTTAAAACACAAAAATGGGCAGTGTACTACCACCAATGCTGTAAAATTACGATTCAAAAGTTATTGCTATTTCTGTCATTTTCCCCATAAAATAAAAAAAATAGTTACTCCTAGCGCTTAGTTACTATTGTAAGGGGTTTTCAGCTTTTTGCAAGATAATGGGAGACAGTATGTGTCAGTTTGCCACCATTTTTTTTTACTTGGTTTATTTTTATAATGCTGTATTAATGAAGTCATTTCTGCCAAAAGTGGGGAAATATTTTAATCCAACCACTCAAGAAGTGAAAGTCCTGTATTTCAGAGTTGATTGGAATCACATAAAGTGTGAGTCAATTGTTCTAGTAAAGAAATATAAAAAATGGCCGGGTTCACAATAAGCAAATCAGGAGACATCAGCAAATTTTCATATTTCAGCAGGGTATATTAAACCATAGAGTAGGTACATAGTAACCAACGAAACTAGACTGCTCTTCCCATTGTAAATTTTGAAGCTCGTTTTTCATATCTTTTTGTTGTTGGTGACAATGATCGCTATAGTATCACGAAATCTTGTTTCCATTATTTTAGAGTTAATTTTATGATTTGAGCTTTACTGTTTGGTTATATGACTATAGGGTACAATTTATTGTTTATGATTATATCGTTTCATTTGGATAACATTTAGTTCAATTGGTGAAGGGCTTTCCCCGCAAAAAGGGTGGAATTTTTAAATTTAAATGCAAAATAATTAGTATGAATGCTTTCCCTTTATTTACATATGATTAAATTTCTATATTTATTTATAATTTTGAAATAACTATAGCATACTACACGAAGATAGTGGAAGAGGGCCTGAGCTCGATTCTGGTTACAGGGCCCACAATCGAATGTGGGGGCCATGCTAGCGCCACACGTCCCATAAGACAACATGGCAGACAGGTGACGTTAGCAGCTCATTAATTTGCTTACTATTCATTTAAAAAAACATTGACTAAAAGATTGAAAATAAAACATTTAAAATTCAAAACCAAAAAAACAAAATAAATTGAAAATCTATATCTGTACATTTAAAATGGAGTCAATATTGTTATATCCCAGTAACCGAGCTTTCGTATTCTTAATAAATACACGAATTAGCTGTCACCAAAGAAAACAGCTGTAACAACACTACTTTGCGATATGTTCCCAACTTGCCAGTTGCCACTTCGAAGACCGCAGTTAAAGGTGGGCGTGGAAAATGTTTACGGACGGTGTTGAAGAGTAGGCCCCTTTTTCAGGAAATTTTTCGAAACCCCTGACTTAGTTAAAAAGGACATCATGATACACCTCCTTGTCTTGTATGTATATATAGTCAAATTTTAAATTTATTTGGTTTATAACTCAATCTATCCAGCTATGGCTAGGCAACGATGAAGAACCGGTAAAGGTAGGCCTACTTGAGTATGTTTTATCTTTGCATTACCAGTCATTACAAACAGATGGGCCTGCCTACTATTGATTACGGGAGCCTATTTTATACTCAATAGTAAGACATCAATTTATACTCAATAGGAACGAAAAGCAAATGGCAGATATCTTCTAGGAAAAACCGAATTGTTTAAACACAAAGATTAATGGTGAAACAGTTAACCAATTGAATAACCAATCTCATTGTTGGATGGTCTATTTTTTATATAGTACGGCCTTTGTTTATTCGTCATTAAAAAGGATATTCATTCAATAGCCTTTGGTACGAGGAAGAAACAGAACGAAAACGAAGAAAAGTGGGCGGGTCGCTGAATTTTTATTTCAGGTTTAGTGTTGCCTACAGTATTATTTTGAGGCTTCTGATTGGCTGAGGGAACATCATTACCGCAACGATACGGATCGCCGTCAACGGCCTCGGTGGTGTAGTGGATAGAGTGCTGGGCTGATAATCCGAAGGACCTGGGTTCGGATCCCATCCGTTACACTATTTTTTGTATTGGACTTTTTCATTATCAACACGTTTGGTTGGTCTGGTTAGGTTATGATGGTTTAATTTTATAATTAAAACATTATAAAATTGAATTTGACCCATTTATAGTTTTATTATATGAACAGAAACATATTTTCGAATAAAACCTTCATTCGATTTTTCATTATCAGCAAGTAAGGTTAGTTTGGTTAGGTTATGATAGTTTAATTTTATAATTAAAAAATTATAAAATAGGATTTGAGGCATTTATAATTTTATTTTATAAACACAACTATTTTTTCGATTAATAAACCTTCATTAGATTTTTTCATTGTCAGCACGTTTGGTTGGTTTGGTTAGGTTATGACAATTTAATTTCACAATAAAAAAATATAAAATCGAATTTGAGGCATTTATAATTTTATTCTATGAACAAAACAAATTATTCAATTAGTAAACCTTCATTATAGTCGATCAGAAGCCTCTAAATGACACTGTTGGCAAAATTAATCCTGAAAAACAAATTGTGCGGTCGGGTCGGAGACGGGGAACGGAACCGGAACGGAACAGGGAACAGACATAGACATCCAACCAAATAAAGGCATGCGAAAGTGGTGAAATCAGTTGTTGTGTTTGTGTTTTGTTTTGTCAAAACTGCTTAGTTTTTAAGGTGTTGTGTTGTCATCATATATTTTGGTGAAGAAACCATAATAATGGAGGCTATATTCCATGAAAAGGTAAGTTATTGTTTTAAAGTTGATTTGGAGATGCATTGCTCCGTAATTAGGACTAGGTCCTAGGGCGTTTCTCAAAAAGTGAAGTTTTTTAAGAGAACTTCTTCAAGACTGTAGGCCGGTGGTGAGAAATCGCTTTAAATTATCGTTTAGTAGAGCACCTGTTAATTTTATAGTTGCCTAAACTTAACTTAATAAGTCATCTACAATCAAATGTGTAGTGGCTGAAACACATATTCACTCCGATATTACTAAAACGATTGACAGTTAAAGTTACTGAATTGTAGGCCAATGAAACCCTGTTAACACATAGGCTAGGCCTAGACCAATTATGTTGTAATTGTTCGAAAAACCCTCATGGACCTAGACCCTCGGCCCTTTAAATTTAAATAGGGCCTAGGCCTAGGCTATTACTCTTAAGGAGGTGTATCAAGTTATACTTTTCCTCACCATGGTTGTCATTTGGGCTCAACTTTGTTGGGCTATAGGCCTAAGCATAACTTATATAGGTAACGACTCCAGGTTTCAAACAAATTGTCTGGTATAACATCTACGAGGTCTGTTCAAAAAGTTAGTTTATCCAAACTTGTTCAGGAAAAGCGTAGTTTATTGATAAATTTGTCGTAACTTAACATGCGATCTCTTTCAAAATCCCTAGTCCCCTTTTGATTTCACACACTTATTCCAGCACTCTTGCCACTTTTGGAAACAAGACTAGAAATCTTCCTTCTTAATGGTAACTTAGGCCTACACTTCCATAATCTGTTGGCACAAACAACCGAAACAGTAATATTGATTAGCCTACCGGTATTCAATTGTTTAATTCGATACCGTACCTATAGGGGCCTATAATTGTTTGGTTAGTTAGGTTAGGTTAACCTTCTGAATTCACATTAAACTGTCATCCAGGTAGGATTGATCAGATGTTGTGATGAAAATGCCCTTTGTGGTGTCACCATCCTCCACAAGAAAGAAAACGAGCTGTTCGTTAACACTAATACCGAAACCCCACCTAGGCTGACGTTAACCGAAACCCCCGGTCTGTGAGACCCCATTTGAAAAATAATGGACCCCGCTTAGAAACACACAAACCGAAACCCTCGGTCTGTGGGACCCCGCTTTAAAATACACTAACGCTGGGCTTCTGAGAAAGACATGTTATGAACAGACGACCTGTCAAGGTCACGGCACCCATGCAAAATGAACAAATGATATATCAATAGGTAGGGGAGGAAAAGGGGGGAAGGTATTGGGGGAATGGAATCTACCAAGTAAACAGTGTTGCCAACATGCGTTTTTGAAAATTCCCGTGGGCCTGTCAGACCGGGGTTTCGGTATTAGTGTTAAACTAAATTATAATTTACTGCGCTGAAAAGACCTTAAAATGTTAAAGATGCTGCTAACTTAGATTTTTTTAAAAGCAAAACTTGATACTTGATGTCTTCATCTTTGTCCGACATTATCGGATAGATTGCGTCAATTTATGTAATATATAGGCCTATACAATTTTTACAAAAACTAATATTTACAAACACTACAGAAAAATAGTGGCATGGCGGTTTGGATTAATTAGGTCTAGTTATATGTCAAAATATGGATGGAAAGAGTGGCTCTTCAAGCTCGACCAATGAGTACAAGTTTAGGCCTATTCACTTTCTGAGAATTAGCTTACAAATTATGGCTTTTTAAACATTCCTTTCCCCTTAACATACAACATTCCTTTCCTGTAAACATCTTTCTTTCAACAGAAGAATCATGAAAATCCGTCTTGTGGTTGATTCTTAATCTGCGGGTAAAAACCCTTCCCATTATTTAATTTTGATAAGATTAAGTACGGTCTAAGCTAGACCTACCTATCTAACAGTTCCAGTGGCCTGTAGCGTGCCGAGCCTTTGCATGCTTTCAAGTTTGGCTATGACAGTTACCTGATTCACCTTTGTCCACCAGACTAGTGTACCATAGGTAATCTGAGGCCTGACCACACCTCATAGAACAGTCAAGGCACATAGCTAGACTCGTAAGCTCATTAGTAGGCCTATTATGTTAATTTTTTTGTTGAAGCCTAACGCATTATCTATCTGAGGAATTATTTACTGTATACTTTCAGCAAGAAGGCTCACTCTGTGCCCAACATTGTCTGAACGCTCTGCTGCAAGGCTCATACTTCACAGCTGTAGATTTAGCCGCCTTGGCACAAGAAATGGACGAAGCGGAGAGACTGAGAATGGCAGAGAGCGGAGTTGACAGCGAAGACTATAGAAGGTTTTTAGAGGTGAAACACAGTTAAATTAACTAGAGATTTAAAGTATAATATGAATATTTTTGCTTTCCCAGCATATCCCTTTAGTGGTATAATGTTGTCAATGAATCAATCAATGTTTTCATAACATTTCATGTCACAGTTGCACATTTGATGGACCATAATTTTACAGAATATTACTGACATCACAGTAACATAATAAGTTTGGCCTTCATCGTGCTGGGTTAAAAGTATAAGTTAATATACTTTTTAGTTATACTATCTTGCTTTAAAACGTGGTCGGTTTGGAGACAGCATAATTGTGTTAAGAGTTTTCTTTGGCCATAAGTAATTTGAAAAACATACGATCTGTGGAAAATGTAAGTTTTGAATCAAATAGAAAACTGTTTCAGTTATACTCACTAGCCTACAGTTTTTTTTAGAGCTTTCCCTATTTCAGTTTTACAGGATTAAAAAAACGTTTCTTTGGCAAATGATGGTGCATACTATTGCCGTACTAATTTTGCAAGGAAAGTACAGTAGTGTCCCACTAAACCCCCGCCAATATTGAATTTCCACCTATTCCGAACAGAACTTGAAAATTATAAAAAAAATCTAGTAAAGAGCTGACTACCGGTCCGGTATGTCACCACGAATATGTTGTTCTTGTGGTAAATAACGGAAAAGCTCACATTGTCACCTCATACGTCTAGTAGGCTGGCAACAAACTTTGCTGAAGTCGTTAGTTTCATTGTAGGCCTACTGTTGGCGATGTCAGCAATAAGGCCTGAAACTTGAAAGTTACTAGCGATGGTTCCTCAAATGTCAGCAAGACTATTGATTGGTGTTGTCGTTTAAACGTTGGTGGTGTTAGGGATGTTGCCTGAGATTTCCTAGTATCATGTTTAGTGTTGTGAACGTCGACAAAGATAGTGATCTGTAGGAACGGTGGCAAAGTCTACCACAACATTTTCAAGACTGCTGTGAATAGAGATCTGGCAATGATATCAAAAACGTTGGGGAAGCTATAACTGCAAACATTAGTAAAGATAGTTAGGGTCTCTGAGAATAATACAGAAGCTTTCAAAAGACCTACAGTAAAATGCTGCAGCAACATTAGCATCGTCTCCCTGTGATTGATGCAATATTGCTATCAGCTCTTGCAAACGCGGTCACATCTTCATCTCCTCTTGTTAGTCTTGTGATGGTGCTATAACCCCAACATATTCTGCAATAACAGCTTCATAATTAGTTTCAGATAGTTCGGAATAATGGAACTCTACTGTATGCATGTAGTAAATAATTAATTTTTTTGTGTCCCGAATCATTATAACAAAAGTGGCTGATAGGCCTAGACTTTTTACTCGTAATTTCCAAAATGGAATTTTATCTTTTTCAACCTTGTTTTCTATTTTGGTTTACAGCAACCATCAGGAAACATGGACGACAGTGGGTACTTCTCAGTCCAAGTTATAAGTAGCGCTCTGGAACTGTGGGGTCTTGAAATGATTCCCTACAACAGCTCAGAACCTCGAGCTGTAGAGGCTCAAAACAACCCTGCGTAAGTTGTGTTAAACTTCATTTTTAGTGCCCATCTTAACATTCCTGTTTACAAAACTCCTTTAAACAAGTGTTCTCAATTTTTTTTATCAAAATACTGTGGTTCATTTAATGGAACTGAAGTCTTTGCCATGAAAAATAAAATCAATTGTTTTACTTGTCAATTCACTAATTCTAAACAGAGCTGATGAGTGCCAGTAACTAGTCTAAAGTAAAAGTGTTCATACGAGTGTGCCTCGAACATGGTCCTTATGAGGCAGAGCGTGTCTAACGCTAGTGATGTTTCACCAAAGAGTAAGAATGTATGTTACTGTGTATGTATGTCTACTTTAACTAACCTACAGCCTTGCTCTTTGGTAAGAAACCGCCCATAAAGTCTGTAAAACACTTGTATGGAACTAGTCCACGTCTTGGCAAAAAAGATGCTACAGTAGAACCTCTATTAACTGTCACCCTTGAAACCGGCAGCGTGACGTCTAAGGAATAGACGGATAACAGATATCCTGTTATAGACCTGTACATTAAGTTTATTTAAAAGGTTTTGGAAGACATTAAAACCTGTACAAGAGAATAATACCTATTAATACCTATATATAAATTACACACATTCAAGAGTAATGAAGTATTTTGTATGTTGTACTTGTTCAATGTTCATAAGGTGAAATAAAATTACATTTGAAAATAATCTAAGTATTGTAGCGGGGTGACAGATAACAGAGATTGACTATTATTCGAGGTTCAACTGTAACAACTTACAACTTTCAGTTATTGTAGGTCTATACATTGCAAGTTTGTTCTGTTCAGAGATCAGAAGGCGTACATTTGCAACTACAGGGATCATTGGTTCACCATCCGACGACTCGCTAATCAGTGGTTCAACCTCAACTCTCTGCTGACTGGGCCTGAACTCATCTCCAACACCTATCTCGCCATGTTCCTAGCTCAGCTGCAGCAGGAAGGTGACTTACTACCTTTCTTACACATATTGCAGTTTCTAGTAAAATAGTGTTGACCTAGTGAACTATTTTGTACATTAAGGATGATCCAATTTCAGTCTCCTATTTTAGCAACACTAAGAATTAAACAGTTGCTTATTGTTGCATGTTTGTTTAGGGACATCACATGTCAGATTAGAACAACAAATTTACTAAATTTATCTTTGAAACACCGCTCAACATGTAAGAGTTGTTCAATTGGTCCACAGAAATAACAATTCCAACCTGTACGAACTCGTTGTCAAAGTGGGACAGAACAGGGTGGTCAATTTAAATGTTTTACTCTCAGTGTTCAATTCACAACAACATAGTGAAGCAATTTTAAGTATAGAAGGCCTGTGCATCATTATACAATTATCGGAGAATATTGCTGCTGTCAGTGATGGTGTTAACAAAGAACCACAATCGTTCGTCGTCGTTTGCACTAAACTAAGGATTTCTGGTCAAATCATTTAGGCTACTTTTTTAAGGATTCATAGTCAATGCTACTATCTTATCCTTAAAGCTGTAAAGTGGCAAAATTTACATTTTAGGGAATTTTGTTTACATATTGCCTACCCATAATCATATGGCTTTTTCTAGTCGAACATAAAGCACATTTATTTTATTTTAGATTCAGTATCATGGCCATACACATCTTTTCTTATCTTTATAAGAATCAATCACCACTTGCAGGATTTACCACTGGCCTAGGTGGGGGCAGTGGCCTGCAGCTTAGGGCCGCAAAGCAAAAGAGATTTGCTAAAAAAATTGGACTTTTATTTTCTGAAACTAATAGTTTGCCATGATCGATGGGGAGGATGATGATGCCAGCGTGATTGCGAGAGATGTTCAGAATAAACTAATTTAAGAAAGCCCTCGTCTTAAAGAAGCCGTATGTCTCCTATTACTGAAATTGGATTGGAGTTTAAGATCCTGTTTTTCCAGTGAGCAGTGGACAGGGCTTCTACTTTCCTTTCATTACTTGTGCTGTAAAATGATAAGGGCTTACCTAGGGCAAGAGTAGAATACAGATATAGAGTAGTGCTAACAGCTACCATTTCCAAAAATATAAGCGAAACTGTCAACCCTTTTGACCCCCAATCTCAAATATATTCTTGTTACAAATGTGTTTAAACCATAGACAAATAGAATAAAGACAGTCAAAGGAAGGTTCTGCGATGTACCGCTAGAGCGTGCTCAGTGTTCGTCGATTCGCTGCCGTCATCGACCAACTTTTCAATATGGGTAAAGTACAAAATTCTGTAATTATAACGGAAAAGTCAATTTTTTTAAATCCCCGGAAACTTGTAAAACACAGAAAGATAACGGAACAAACTTCTACTCCCCGGTTTCCAGGGAATTCTCCAGAAGTTGGCAACCTTGGCTCCAACTACCAACTTGTCATGGCAACACTCGCTAGCGCTTGACACTGCTGCAGTTTGGGCCAAAATTACACGACACTCCTAGCGATAGAAGCCAGAAAATATGCCAACCGCAGCATTGCTGTCTTTCTATATTTAGTTCTTTTGTCCTTGGTTTCACTCTCCAAGTGCCACATTTGATTACCGTATATCAATTCTCAATGTATTCAGTTTTACTTATATTGTAGCGATTGTGGTATAGATAATATATTGTTTTTGTTTGTTACAAGGGTACTCGATATTCCTGGTGTATGGAGAGCTGCCAGTGTGTACAGCTGATGAGGTGTTGCTACTGACACCAGCTGTGCAAGTACACAAACCCAAGCTGCTCTCTGAGGTGGTCAAGTCCCAGTCTCAATCCCAGGAGTCTGAAGACTCTGAACTGCAAAAAGCCATAAGGATGAGCCTTGGTCAAGGTATTACTTTTAACACATTAGTATTAGTTATGTCTGTTTTAATTTCGGGTCTAGTTTAAAAATCGGGTATCGGAGGGTTAAATTTTAAATTCTTAAACTTATCATTTTATTATTATCAATTAAGATGGGGACGCCACCACCTAGTTGCGTTTTTCAATGTAAATATGAGTGAAAGATGAGTTTAGTACGGAGTGAGAAGCCTTGAGTAGCTTTGTTACTGACTAAGATCAGTTGTTTCATTAGTCCCAGGGCTATTGATCAAGGTCAGTTGGGTCCAATTTCAAACCATCTGAAAGTTTTAAACTTTTCTCAGGATTGAACCGGTGACCTTTTGATCACCAGGCGAGCACTATACCCACTCTTCTACCCAGCTATGCTTACAAGGATTGAGAATTTTTATAACTCATCTACAATTCAATCAATCGCGTTTGGCTGCAAAACCAGAACACTGATTTTGTTTATGGCTAACCGTGAAGAACAATCTGTACAAACATAAAAATTACCGGTTTTGATCATCTAACGTCATCAAGGCGACATAGTAATTATTTTCATTTGTAATAAAAAATCTCGTCATAAATCAAAATTCAAATGTGCTTGAAAAACATAAAAGAAAATCTTCCAATACATTCCTACATTTTTGGGACTTCAGCACTATGTTAATTCCATTTGGGTTATTGTAGCACTGGAAAATAGCAGGTGTAAGTAATTCTCAGATCCAGGGTATAGAGTTTAAAAATAAAGTTTTTTCTTGAGTGGTGGATTTAAGATTCTGATTTGACTTGTCAGTAACTGACATTGCAGATTAAATCAGAGTTGCCACCTTTGGTTAGGGAAGAATCTTGACACTTACCTCCTCCTGCTAGACAACACGGATATTTAAACACGCGCAAAAATGATAGAAGTCAGGACGTGTAGCAACCCTCAATCACATAGTTTTGTGTGTTTGAAATTACATTAGTGCTAGTGTTCACTAACACTTAATGGGGAGCGAGCTGGTCTAGTGGTAGAGCGCAGGACACCCAGGTTCAAGTCCTGCCAAATCACCAATGGATTTTATCTAAGTGGTAATGCCGCAACCACTAAGTCTAGCCTGAGGTAATGTGAAAACAATTTCTGGCTCGTGCCTAGTATCCTAGGACAAAACAAAAGTTTTCACTAGCACTTCTATAACGGTACATAATCTTTAGATGCCCATTCTAGTCTGTCTAGTATTTTCTATTGCTAATAAACATAAAGACATAAAACCTCCACAAGAGCTTTATGCTACCCGGGTATGAGACTCAAACATGACTCTCCTTAACTTAATCTTTTGTTCTGTGCAGATGAGGTTGTGGACCTTGCTGCTTCAGAAGATGATGAGGAGGAACAGATTAGAAAAGCCATGCTTCTCAGTCTCCAATCTCAACCTACAACACACCTACCTGGTAAACTATTGTCTATACTTAAATAGTAGAAAGTCTTACTATTAAAACGAGTATTGGGAGTTTTCGGATAACAGGTTTTTGAAACCACTGGCCATTGGTGGAAAAATGTGATATCATATTTTAACTTTAAAAAAAAAAACATATAAATTGATTTTTAAATTTTTTGTTACTGTTTTTTTTTTTTTATGTAAAAAATTCCTTTACTCCCATCTTCACTATTTGAGCCAGCTTGTAAATGTGTGTTTGGCTAGCTATTTAAATGTCAGATTAACATGTCCGACTCCATATTTCTAAAATGAACTAGACCATTTGCGCCTTATTAAGTTTTATTAGAAACCCTAAGCTCTAAGCATTTATGTTAAGGCAACACAGTCAGTTTAAAACAATATGACAGAATAGCTGTCAAATGTCCAAAGGCAAACCCCTGACACTGAGTGGAAATGATGCAGACATCTATAGCAGGCTGAAATTTATTCACAAAGACTAAGAAGCAGCGCTCACTGAACTTGTAGCTGGCAAGCAATTTAGTTTGGATTTCTGATTTCTTGTTTCTTTCCTTTTAGTTAATTGTTTTTAGAGGATTTGTTTCGGATTATTGACACTATACTGTATCTTACTGCACATGTAGAGCATGATTGAGTTTGTAGGCGTGTCTGGTTATTAAGTTGTTCTTTGTCAAAGCTATAATTTATTAATTATTTACAACTAGGCACTTGAGAGGTTTTCATTTGTATGTCAAACTTTTGCTCAAGTTACTTGGCAAGATCTTTCACATTATAACCTTCCTTAGCAATAAGTGCTATACATTTTCTAGAAGTGCTTCTCCTTTCAAAATATTTCTGCCAGAATTCCTTCTTTGCCCAAGGTATTGTTGCTTCAGAATATTCTTCATGTATTTTGTGGACAATTTTCCCTGATTTAATTTGCCATTTTCCATTCACCCTTTGAACGCCATGGATCTTTCAGTGAATGATGTCTTGAGCAGTGTTGGGAAGTAGCGCGCTACAAGTAGCGACGCTACAGTAGCGCGCTACTTTTTTTGTAGCGTTAGCTGTAGCTACGCTACTTTTAAGATTTTGTAGCTTTAGCTGTAGCTAGCTACATTTTTAAAGTAGTTGTAGCGGAATTTTAGCTACTTTTCTCGCTACATTAACATTTGTTTGAGATAGTGATTTTTATCATAACCTCAACCTTACGTGAAACAACCTCTTTCAAACTGAGATTTTCAAAAAAATTAGGCCTACTTTCTTGGCTTCAAACAGCTGGTTGCAGCCGTTTTATTCCCTATTACAACGTTGTGTGGACATAGAGTTCATTAAATGAGTGTTATCCACATTTTTGGCTCTCATTTCCTTAATTTACTACTCTATGATTACTGTCAGATAAAATAAAATCGCTAGATGCAGACGACGTTTAAACTAACGGTACCGGTGACAAGAGAAGCTATTGAATTGAATACTTGCAAGTGATTGACAGGACAGGGGAATTAGTAATCAATTAAGTTTCTTTATTATATCGATAATGCTTCAACTTGGGGTTTAATGGAAACCAACACACCTTGAAATAATGAGAGAGCTGGTCTATCAACCTTTGCTTCAGCTGTTGATTGTGGTTTATCATCACAAGCCCTTCCTTGGTTAGATTACGAAGATTTTTCAAAGGTTTACTAAATTAGCAAAGAGGAAATTACTTGATGAGATTTAAGATATGCCTAGACTACATGATAATTGTAATGAAAAAATCTCCATATAACATGAAACTTACATTGAAAAAATAGCATAGTTTGCTCCTGCTAACAGCTCTTGTATAGGACTGAGGCTATGGTTTAAGACGAATACCAAGTTCAATTATTATGAATATATCTGTTTAGTCCTTGCAAGAACAAGCCTACTAAAGCCAACTTGTTACATAGCCAAGTAGGCCTACATGTTATTTTTACTTTACAAATTTCATCATGTTTAAATTAAAAGCCGATTTCAGGATAAGTTGCTGAATACTGTTTTCTCTACCAACTAGGTTGAAGCACAATTTGCCCTATGCATAATGACAATAAAGGACGATTTCTTGACATTGAAAAGTGCTATTCGTAGAATAAGTAATTTATCACTTTAAAAGTTATAGCAATGTTGTTTTTAACATTAAAAGTAAAGAAAGGCAATAAACTCCAATTTCAGTAGGCTAGTCTCTGTAACACAAAAAGTATTTTTAAATAATCTTTTTGCAGTTTATTGGTCTTAATTGTTGATATAAAACATCTATAAATGAATCTATATTAAATTAATAAAATTAGCTTTTAAAATAGTTTGGTTGTACTGTATGTCCTTTGAACTTAATGAAAATTACATTTTAAGATGCTTAAAAATGATGCAATATTTAAAAATAATTACTAAATATGATGGGACACCCAACTATTTGGTTCTGTTGTTGTAATGTTAGGTTTATAATGCCAACAAATTAAATACAATCTAGGAATAATTTGTTTTCCAAGTAATGTTAGATACAAAACTGACATTTTTTAAAATGTTTGTTCAATAAAAATGTAGTTGCAATTAATTTTACATTTACCTAATGTGCGTGGAATAAAACTTAACGTCTTTGGAAAAGTAGCTAAAATTGTAGCTGTAGCTACATTTCATTGTAGTTGTAGTTGTAGCTAGCTACTTTTTCGGAACTGTAGCTGTAGCTGTAGCTAAGCTACTTTTTTTGAAATGTAGCAGTAGTTGTAGCTAGCTACATTTTAAAAGTAGCTTCCCCAACACTGGTCTTGAGAACCACGTAGCGAGACCGTGGAAGATGTTTAACAATCTCAACGTATCGCAGGACACTGACGATTTTGCTGTGACTGCCGAATATGTAAATAATGATTTTATTCTATACCAGAGAGACCTATAACTTTTTAATACGCTATTTGAAATTATTAAAGCCTTTGAACCATTGTTGAATAATGACTGACAATACACAGGTTGCCTCGATAGGTAGGATTCTTAGAAAAACGAACCGAGTGGGAAAACTGAAAAATTCTGTGTCTCATCTGACAAGATTATTCTTAGTTTTAAAATCCCCTTCCACTGAAAGCCATACGATAATTATATTTGTTACAGAAGTGGACCCTGTGGAGCTGCGGCAAAGAAGGCTCGCATACCTGGAGAGCGCAGGGACAAAAGTCAACACGTAGTAGCAATCCATAGCTAACTGCTGTACTGTACAAATTGGTGTAGATTCACTTTTATCACCGGTGTTCAGCCCAACCTGCCAATAACTGGTTCCAGGCAATCTTTGTATATTCGAAACTAACCTGTTAATATCTATGTAAATGTATTTTAAATTATTGTTGATAAATTTCCTCTTCCACTTGTTGAGTTCTTTCTCCTGCAGTTGTCTTATAATGCTTATATATGATTTCTATTTACAGAAGACATCTGAAAGGAACAACTGTTGTTTTGAAAACAGGGAAGAATTTCTGTAAGTTTTTTCCCCCTCTGATCACAAATTTAAATTAATACCAGAGATTAAAATACCTTTGACCCCTCAAGTGTGATCAAAGTCATTGGTCACCGCGACCAGTGACGTTGAGTACGCTGACGGATTAAGGTATTTTAAGTTTTAACCCCTAGTATTGACATGGAAAACACCTTGAAGAGTTAAAAGAGATGTTATAGCTAGCTTCTTTCCTGATGCCCTACCACAGCCATTCTCCATTTTCTGATCTGAAACAGCACCCAACGTTGAAAATGCTAAAAGAATTTTAAGATTAATCACTAATCTTAAAAAAGGTTTCCACAGCAAATTGTTGCAATGTGTTATTATTTGAGTTTGAGAGCGAAAGAAAATCAGTGGGCCCTTACGCTTTATTACAATTATTTTAATTATATAAATATAAAGACAATAATAAAAGATAACTGAGAGGAGTGTGACTTCAAAAAAACATTTACAGGTTTAGTCTGTGACTTCTCTAAAATCAAAATACATCATCAAAGTGTGATGAGTTACTCAAGCAAAACAGTATTTTTCATATAGCGACATATAGCCACGTCCCATACATCACGATCTGAATCTTGTAATAAATTCATCTACTATACTACTATAACCATACAGCCAAAAATCCTCAGAGCTAGAGCCTCAATCTTGGGTTTTAAGTGACCCAAAGATTTACCAGAAGCCTTTGCCAGCCTTGCTAGAAACAGCATTTGAGGATAAAATAGAAACTCTAAACAAAAGGAAAGTATTAAGCAAGAGTGTTTAAGATACTTAAAAACCAGTATGATTTTTAACATTAGATGCTGAATAAATTGCAATTTCGGTGCTCTTAAAAATGCCAAATCAATACTACCATACAGCATGAAGAATACGGTATGGGACTAAAAATGAATGCAGACCAGACACTAATAACTTTGTTAGCCAAAAACATTTGTATACACATTATTGACAGGGTGTCCACATTCTGGAAAGTCAGGGATAGTCATGGAAAAAAATTCTGGTCATGGAAATAGGCAAAAGTCATGGAAATCACCAGTGATGGTTGGATTTCTGGGTCCTCTCAATGATCTAGTCGACCGTAACCCCGACTATTGTAGCATTTTTCACAAATATACGACAATTCAATTTATACAGTTGTCTTAGTTTATGGGTTTTGAGTTTGTATTTAGTTCATTGTTGTACCTGTTGTGCGCCATTGTTATCTTTTAATACGTATTTCAATATTTTCTGTCTAGGCAGTATTATTTGTGTGTTTACGGTATATTATAATTTTTAAGTAAAGTTCGTGAGTCATGGAAATCAATGGTTAATGGTCATGGAAAGTCAGGGAAATTAATGACAACATTTCTGTGGACACCCTGATTGGTTTGTTGTTGTAAAATAAATTTAAACAAAGAAAATTTTATCATCCTCCACACAGATGAATAAATACTCTTGAGAGGAGTATTTTCTAATAGATTGTTATATTTTTTAACGGCTTGTATAATACGTAGTGCCTATGTTTATTATAATTAAAAGGTTTCTAAATTCATTAAATTTTTATAAAGGTCCAATTCCTATCCTGCAACTGTTACGAAAAATGTAAATCGGTCCCGGGTCTAGGTCTTACCATGAGACCTACGGTAATTGCTTATTCCCTATATGGGAAATTCGCTAAAACTGCCTCAAAATGAAAATCCCCGTCTTCAATGTAGACAATAGACATAGCAAACATTAAATATAACAATTTTTTATTTTAAATTTTGGCTACATTTATTGAGTATTTTAAAGAAATGCATAATAGTAAATTGTAGGAAATTTTATTCTCTTTCGGAATACCTTCCATTCCTTCCAATTTGGTTGATTATCTCCTTACCATTTAAAAGTTATTTACAAAAACGTCAAGCAACCTCCGAATTTCTAGTGGTAAAAAAAAGTTTTAACTTACACTTGTACAATTACATCTACAGTTCTGCTGGATCGGTTTTGTTAAATAATGTGTCTTTTTAATTTGATGTGTATTTTATAGCGGTAAGTTTAATTAGTACGGTTTTACTGTATGGCTCAGAAACATGGGCAATGAGCAAAAAAATAGAAAAGAAAATTATAACATTTAAAACAAGGTTCTCAGGAAAATATATGGTCCGACGCTCGAAGATGGAATATGGAGAATGAGACACAACATCGAGATTAGAGAGCGCTATAAAGACCCTGACATCATAGCGGAAGTCAAGAGCAGAAGATTGAGATGGTTTGGTCATATTTCGAGAAGAGAGGAAGACTCCACTACGAGAAATGTACTTGATAGAAACCCCGAAGGCAGGAGACCACGAGGCCGTCCCAAACTTAGATGGAAGGATCAAGTACAAAAAGATGTAAGAAGACTGGGAAGGAGTGAAAATGACACCAACAAAGACAGAGACATCTGGAGGCAGTGTGTGGGCAAGGCCAAGCCTCTTAGGGTACCAGTGGCCACTCCAGTAAGTAAGTTTAATAGTATAAAAGTTATAAAGCGTTAAAACCCGCTATTGCTTTTGAAACGCCCAATATTAGTTTAACCAGGGTGGGTGCTCATGCCTTTATAGTTAAAGAATAAGAAACTATTAAATACAATTATTAACAAGAACTGTATAAAACTCTATTTAATCATTTCATAATGTTAGCTTGAACTAAACAACAACATTGAATTAAACAAACATAATAATAAATAATTCTGAACATCTGTGAATCTTAATAACATATGTAACAGTGGTCCCCCCCTTAAAGTTTTGTGCGTAGCATCTGGTCGACGTGTCGCCTCCAAGTTTGACCATCATCCATTCTAACGTAATAATGAAGATTACCATCTTTAATTTCAACTGTTCCCAAGGCCCACTTGTCTCTTCCTGAATAATTTCTGACTTGTACGCGGTCCCCAGGATTGAATCTTCGCATTATACCTTTTGGACAAGTAGGTTCGTGTTTTCCCCGAGGCTTTAGTAGACTTAAATAAGTGCGAATCTTTCTATTAAACATGAGGAAATATGAAGAGGTTCCCATTGAATTAGGAGCTTGGCGGATCTGCATTAGAAATCTATGTAATTTTTCATCGATGGTCCCAGGTTCATTTTCCATACATTTAAGTGATTTCTTTACAGTTTGAACAAAACGTTCAGCCTGCCCATTAGATGAAGGGTGATATGGTGCAGTTGTTTTATGTGTAATTCCACACTGTTCAAGGAAGCTAGTAAACTCTAAGGAAGTAAACTGTCGTCCATTGTCTGACACAAGAAGATCTGGTAATCCAAAAGTAGAAAACATTTTTCGCAACTCCTTTACTGTCCAAGTAGCTGTAGTACATTTCGTAGGCAATACTTCTACCCATTTGGTAAATGCGTCAATGACTAACAGGAAGTAAAGTCCATTTGTAGGGCAAGCAAAATCAATGTGAATCCTTTCCCAAGGTCTAGTAGCTGGTATCCAAGGATAGTTCACTTCTTTTTGTGGTGCATTTTGTTTTTCTCTACACGCTCTGCATGATGCAATCATCTCCTCGATATCTTTGTCTTGTCCTTTCCAATAACAAAAACTTCTGGCTAATGCTTTCGTTTTCAATACACCCATGTGTCCAAAGTGTAATTCATTCAAAACAGTTTTAGTAAGAGACTTCGGAATCATAACCCTCCATCCCTTGAGGATACAACCTTCATGAAGACTCAGTTCACCATCGTGAAATCCAAGTTTTTCAACAGACTGGCCATTTTGTAAAGCGTGTACTATCTTATTCATTTCCGTGTCATGGGAAGTTTCTTTTGCTACCAACTTATGATCCAAACTCATTTGATTGATCTGACTTGTTAGGAAAACATCAATTTGGTCAATGCAGGTACTATTTTGTGTCTCAGTAGGAAATCTAGAGAGAAAATCAGCGTTTCCATGTTCATTTGATCTTCTGAACTCAATGCTGTAATCAAAGCCTGATAAATAATGAGAATAATTGAACAAACGAGTTGCAGACATGGATGGAAGATTTTTTTCTGGGTTGAAGATTGTGACTAGTGGTTTGTGGTCGGTTACGAGGGTGAATTTGCGACCGTAACAATAAGTAAAGAACTTTTTTAGGCCCCAAATAATGCCAGTTGCTTCCTTGTCTATCTGACTATATTTTTCTTCAGGCTTCGTCAACGTTCGAGAGGCAAAAGCAATTGGTTTCTCGGTCCCATCAGGAAAACGGTGTGATATAACAGCGCCTAACCCAACAGGAGATGCGTCTGTAGCTAATACTAGTGGTAGTTCTGGACTGTAGTGGCAAAGAACAGTATCACTGGAGATAACTTTCTTGATTTGTTCAAAACTCTGTTCACATTGTTCATTCCACACGTATTTGTTCCCTTTCTGTAAAAGTTTATGTAATGGTTTCAGTAGAGTTGCTAGGTCTTTTATGAATCGGTTGTAATAGTTTACCAAACCTAAAAATGTCCGGAGTTCACTTACATTCTCAGGTTTTCTTGCCTTAGTTAGGGCAGCTACTTTGTCCATACATTTATGTATACCTTTTTCATCAATGACGTGGCCCAAATAATGTATTCTTCTCTGGAGAAACTTGCATTTGTCACGATTGAGTCTTAAACCTTTTTCTCTTAGTTTTCCTAAGACACTTTCCAAACGCAGAAGTAGTTCCTCTTCTGAATTTCCCTGAATGACTATATCGTCAAAGAAGCACTGTATCCCCTCTAGGCCTGCCAACGTCTTGTCCATTGTTTTCTGCCAAATTCCAGGAGCAACTTTAATACCAAACATTAATCTATGTACCCTGTACTGTCCCTTATGCGTGCTTAAGGTTTGAATATTTGCACTATCACTGTCCATTTCCAAATGAAGGTAAGCATTTCTTAAATCTAGTGTACAAAATAATT